AACGTCTGTTGTTGCGGCGTCGCGAACATGTTGCTGAAGTCCATGTTCGTCGTGTCAAAGGCGAAACCTGCGCCCTGATGGTCCATGACTATGTTATTTGTCAGAGGGCGTTGTCGTTGGATACGGCGTCTTGCTTTCGTCGTGGTAGACGGTTAGCAATCACAAGCTCCAAGGAATGAGCGAGTATGATGGAGAATGAGTGTCTAGGAGCCTGAGGCCTGTTGCTCGGTATTTTAGATCAAAGGGCGCTGCGCCCACGAGTTTCGCGATGGAGTTCGGAGTCATTCATGCAGCCCTTCAGCTTCAGGGAAGGGCGATGGAGATCCAAGGTTTAGGCAACCGGTGAGACGAATAGTGGGGAATTGCGGTAACTTTACGACTTCGCCAAGCCGGTCGTTCGAGATGCGACTGTGGAGAAACCTACGCTGCTTGCCAGAATATCAAGTTGGCCCTGTCGCTTCACCTTGCCGAATGAGCTATCTGGCCTTGGAAGGAGGTACTCTACTTTCGCGACGTTCGCTGTCGTTGCGTAGGTCTCTTCCAATGTGGGTGAAAAGAAACGTCTTTCGGATGTTCGTAAGCGCTAATTTCCTGTATCGCCCTTTCCTCTCAGAAGGGCGCAGCCGCACGAAACAGGCTAGCGTCGGCAGTGCGAAGTGGGGCATGTGGCTGAGCTGCAGCAAGCAAGTTACGGAGAACGCGAACTCCACCTCCATCCCCATATCTCCCATGGCTGAGTCAGTCTTAGCTTATATATTAACGACAGACTACTCATTAGCACCTTGAAGACTTTGTTTGTGTCGCATACCTAGGCAGATATCTGCTCTAGCGAGAATACCACGGATGAGTCTGCTTGATGCGGACCTCTGTATCAAACCTTGGAAAGAGCGATGAAGTGATCAGTAAAGTAGCCAACTTACATTTTGCGTAGACCAGTCTCACACGGACAATTACGTCATTGTCTACATCATATGGACCGTCAATAGTAATCAGACTCATGTAGTAGGTGGGAACAACATCGGCATGGCTGTCGGGAACACTCAAGAGGTTTGGGAGAATAACATGTTTAACTAGATCGAACATCCACTCGAAGCAAACAATATGGACGAACCCACAAGACACGATATATTTGCGTGATGGAGCAATCACCTATTTCTAGACATATATAATACTTGTAGTAGAGACAGATGTTTTTTTCGCCCTCTGCTACGTCGATATCTGGACAATCCAGCCAGTCTCTAACTAATTTTCCATGGGCCAAAAACGAGAAGAACTACTGGCAAATTTCAGGCAAAACCCACGTCCCCTTGATTATCAAGATGATGAGGACTGGAAAATATGCCAAGCACTTATAGATGAAAAAGCAGACCGCGAGAGACAAGAACGAGCAGATCGAGCGGTTGCTGACGATGGTGATGCCGAGGACGAAGATTCTGACGAGGACAAAGAAAATGCTATCCCACTACCAATCCGTATGAACACAGAAGACAGACAAACGGAGAACGAAGATGAAGGCGAAGAAGAAGACGAAGACGAAAGCACGAATGATCCCGCACCAGACACCACCGCACTTCCTGTAATCCCCAAAGTGCCCACAGCAACCACTAGCACAAGCCAAACCCTCATCGCCCCTTCCGGAGCACCCATCTACTTCTTCCACGGAAACATCAACATTCCCCTCATGTTGATCGACACAGATATTCAAGCTGCCGTTCAAAAACTGATTGAAATGTACATCACCCGTGGTCGACTAGCCAGCAATACCGTCGTTTGCATAAACCAGCGCTATGACGGTCAAGCCACGCATAATGCTGATGGTACAGAGTATGCCTGTAGGACTTGTATTGATAAGTATCGTGATGGTCAAAACTACAAGGGATACAGGTTTTGTATAAGACATGGGCAGAAGGTCATGGGTGGACAGCTGGTAACTGCATATTTCGCTGTCGCACAAAAGCGATCGGAGAATCAGCGGTATGTTTGGCGTACTGAGTAGCACAAAGACAAACAAATGGAAAAGAAAACTGCCAAACGACAGTGGTGAAGGGGGCGACATATTTCCTGAACGAGCTCTTATCTTCGCACCACCATCATCAATACTCGGGGCTGAGTGGAAAAAGTTGAATCGAGAATATATGAGTAAAAGCTATTCATGTGGTATCATTTCGTATCTATCTACGTTCTCGGAAAGTAAAAAGGTATCTCATCATTACCGTTCTTCGTCAAACCCGCGCGCTTAGAAAGCAACCATCTGGCTAAGCCCAGCGCTCTCACGCTCAAAGTTCTTGTGCTGTGAGATGCTGTACAAGTACGCGCTGGTGAAGTCCTTAGCCTCCTTGGCCATGTTGACAGCCTCCTTGAAGCTATCGGCGTGAACCTGACCAGCAGTGACAACACCGTAGCTGTTGACAACATCAGCGGCGGCCGAGAACTCCATACCGGGGAGTTCGACGGCCTGCTTGATGAAGGAGACGGCCTCGCCGGTGCCGCCAATAGCCTTCAAGTGACCGAAAGCCTCGCGGATCCAGTGAACGGCGCGACCGTTCTTGCGGAGGGTCTCGACTGACTTGGCACCACCAGGAACGAAAACACTGTCGTACATGGTGGAGCGTTGGCCCTCAAGGTGGTGGTCTGCTACGACACCGGAGCCACTCTTGTCCTCACCATCGGCGTAGATCTTGTTTCTCCTGGGTGAAATGGTGAAGGGAAGGGCGCCGGCAGCAGTGAGCGCAGCCTTGATGCCGTTGTAAGCGACCTTGTCGTAACCATCGGCGATAAGGATAGCAACCATGCGGGTAGCAATGGTAGGCTTCTCAGGCATGAAGTCCATCTGGGAGAGACCCTTGGCCTTCTTGTTGTGCTTGGGGCGAGTCTGCTCAGTTGGCACATCGCTGCCAACCATCTCCGCAACACTCTGAGCGAGCTCAAGATCGATCTCACAGAGACGCTCACAGAGACGCTTGTAGACGACGGGGTCGTCACAGTGGTCAAGCTCGAAGGCGAAAGCGTCCTTCATGTGCATCTTCTCGTTCTCTGACATGGAGTTGTAGAAAAGCTCAGCCTGGTTCTTGTGCTCCCTGAACTTGCTGGTCTTCATGCGGGCCTTGATTCCGGCAGTCTTCTCAGGGTAATCGATGTAGGCGCCCTCCTTTTCTGTAGCAGGAGGAACAGTCTGGAAACGGTTAGGCCAGTAGTTGACCTTGCCCTTGGTGATAGTATGGCGCATGGCACCATCACGGTTGAAGTTCATGACGGGGCAGACAGGCTTGTTAATTGGCAGCTCTTCCCAGTTGATACCCAGACGTGAGAGTTGGGTGTCCTGGTATGAGAAGTTGCGTCCTTGCAGAAGAGGGTCGTTGCTGAAGCCGATACCAGGGACGATGTGGCTTGTGCAGAAGGCGACTTGCTCTGTTTGGGTGAAGAACTCGTCGGGGTTCTGGTTCAGCTCGAGCTCACCAATGTACCGGATGGGGACAAGCTCCTCAGGCCAGACCTTGGTGGCATCCAAGATGTCGAAATCGAAGTCGTGCTCCTTTGATTCTGGGAGGACTTGGATACCGAAGTTCCACTTGGGGTACGCGCCACTGTCGATAGCCATCCACAAGTCCTTGCGATGGAAGTCGGGGTCTTGGCCAGCAATCTTGAGAGCCTCGTCCCAGACGAAGCTGTGGACACCGAGTTGGGGGGTGAAGTGGAACTTGACAAAGCTCCTCTCGCCCTTGGCGTTGATGAGTGTGTAGGTGTTGACACCGAAACCTTGCATCATACGGTATGAGCGGGGAATGGTGCGGTCGGACATGGCCCACATGAACATGTGCGTAGCCTCTGGGTGCATGTACTGGAAGTCCCAGAAGTTGTTGTGAGCGGACTGTGCTTGCGGGACCTCGCAGTCAGGCTCCGGCTTTCCGGCGTGAATAACATCGGGCTGAATAAGTCAGTATCTCACATATGGGAATGAGGTTCGCACAGGGCCATTGCTTACGAATTTCATAGAGTCCTGGATGAAGAAGACGGGAATGTTGTTTCCAACAATGTCCCAGTTACCCTCTTCCGTGTAGAACTTGACGGCGAAACCGCGGACATCACGGACAGTGTCTGCCGATCCACGGCTACCCAGTACAGTTGAGAATCGTAGGAAGACGGGGGTCTCGCGCGATGTGTCGGTAAGAATGCCAGCCGATGTGACGTCTTCAGCGGACTCGAAGAGTTTGAACTTTCCAAAAGCACCGGAGCCACGGGCGTGGACAACACGCTCGGGAATGCGCTCGTGGTCGAAGCGGTGGATCTAAGATTGTCAGGCCCTGGTGTTGCGTTGCGAAGAATAGCGTGCTTACCTTCTCGCGAGCGGCGTGATCCTCCAGCAGCGAGGGACCTTGCTGGTTGTCTGTCGCCACCGACAGCCAGTCATCAGTGTTGCTCTGCTTAACACCAGCATCGGTGGTGATGCGCCACTTGTCGTCGTGAACGTCTTTGGTAACAGCTGCAAGCTGAGCCATCTTGCCGGTCTTCTCACCGACAAGGCCCTTTGCTTTTTCCGCAGCGTTGCCTAGCATTTCGGACGCCATGTTGTCGATTATGTGTAAAGATTGAGACGATTGGCGATGTCAATCGATGTGGAGGGCATTCGCTGTGCGCGGCGCGCTCGTCTTTGTATCGCAACCGTGGGCGAGAATCTGTTTACTTTTCGACGTCATAACGACGTGTGCTCGCTGCAGTTCGGCTTTGAGTTGCCTAATGCTTCTACCACACAGCTCCATCAGGACTCTGGCTGCGTGTTTGCGACGCGCTTGGAAGTGGAGTTCGTGCAAGACAGCCAATGGCAAAGCAGATGATGTTCGATCATCGTGATTTGTACGTCTGCATCGACTGCCGAGCCCCGCCGATATGCCACGCGAGACTCAACTTTGCCATGTACCCGGCAGCTGGCCCGAGCAATTCGAGAATGCCATGCTGAGAAATGGATAGCCTCTCCTTGAACCTTGTCTCAAAACGTCGCTGCTAGGCCCGTTCCCGGCGAATCGAGAACAGGTCGTAAGCAAATGCTCAAGTGCCGCTGCTCGGGAATATCATGCTGTGACGTCAGAGAAGGAAAACCGTTGCAAAGTCCACGTGTGGACGCCCCGCACTGTCCCCACCAGAAGTGATCACCAGCATGTCCAGGGCAAAGACGACATCTCCGGAGGCGAAGGCAATCATATGTGAGAGGGTTGCACAAGATATCCAGGGCGAAGGGGGCTGCTTTTCAGGCTTCGTTGAGCTAACCAACCGTGTGAATTTTAGCGTTCGTTTTCGCTCTCGCTCTTTGAGCCCAAGCCCTATCGCATGTGTTCCGATGAACTCTACTGGACCTCGCTATCTACTCCCATTGATGCTGAAACGCCACGATAACCGTTTCCTCAAGCACGAGACCCAGACGCCAACCGTCACACACCGTTCCCCTACATGGCCGCAAACGCCGAACTACATCGCGTCTACTTTAATAGTACGCCACCCACAACCTCCGGAACTTTTCCTGAACCAAATTTCACATGACAGTTTCATCGTTTCATGCAATTGAGGTAAGCCGCTCTACGCTAATGTCGGGGTTACTTTTTCGCACAACAGACCAGCGGTTTGCGAAGCGTCGATAGCGTGCTTCGCAATACAGCCAGCTAGCCCACGTCAGTACAGTGTGGACGCGATTGGCTTATTTCAGAGTGACGACGAGTTCACGCTGATCTGAAATATCTGCCGATGGTGTTTCGCGGATTTGTAGAAGATAGTTTCGGCGTAGCTAGTATCCGTCAAGTGCCGTGGCGGTCCGGATCATCCTTCTGCCAATGGATCGTCTGTACATATTGCATCTGGTTGGCATTGCCTGCTCCTTCACCTTGACCGTAATGCCTTGGCTGATGATCGACAGGCGTTGCGCTTGTCATCTGTACCTTGCAGCTATATCTAAACTCTCCGCAGTCCGTGGCTTCCGCAAAGGTCGAGATTGTCAAACGGCGGAAAAAGTGTCTTGAGGGCGTTTTGGCACTGAACGTCGTGTGCACTAGTAGCTTTAGCTTGATCATCGCACTCATAACTCCGAACAGTCAAATCATTTATCATGGCATCAATGCGCTAGCTGAAGACGCGAAGATTTTCGATACAAGTCTGGTGCTGTTGGCATCGTCGTTGCGCGAGCATATATGCACAAACTCCGTTGGGCGCCGTTCAGGGCATCGATCATCCGCTGCCAGCCCCTGAAGCTTTAGCTTTATTGGTTTTGCTTGTACAAACCTTTCAAAGTGCGGATGCGAATGCGCAGCATTTGTGCGGCATCCGTACGGCCCTGCAAGGCTGCAATGAGCTTTCGTGCTTGGTTTCCGGTAAATACCGCTATCCGTTGATACGCCTCTTGCAGAGCAGCAGGCTAGCCGCATCTGCAACTGTATTGTTCTCACGCCATGTCGCTATGCAAGCGCACTGTGTAGACGCGCCTGACCCAGCTGGTTCCATGTCTCGGACGCAGATCTCCTTGTAGAAAAGTCGACAAGGAATAGCCTCAACAACATGCAAGATAAATACAAATGTTCATTGACAAGGAACAAGTAGCCGCGAAGGTGCGGAATGTAGACGAGACACCGTGTCCGTCGAGAGGCGGGGCAGCCCCGGTTCTAATTGTAGCTGTTGATCAGGCGTACACCGAGGTTGACGCATAGTCGCTGGTGCTAGTCATAATGACTGCTCTCCTCCAAGCGTAGTGGGGCATGCTGTGCCTCTTAGCAACTGACAACCTCAAAGGAATGCTAGCGAGACCAGCAGCCAACGGTTTTTTGGTGGTCATCGGAAGGATATAAGGATAGGGCCGCTGTCACAAGCGCACTGTGGTATAGCGCGGCCTGACCTAGTGCCTTCGCGTGTGGTAAGCGCAACCGAGATTCGCATCCTGGAGATTACCGCCAGGCTGACCTTGACAGTATCCGAGCCGCAAGTGATGCTGCCAGAGTCTTGCGTGAATCGGTGGGCACGCAAATCGATGTTGCAGTGGTTCTTGATCAGTACACCACATTGTGCAGCACAGTGCAGTACAGATCTGACGACCATGTTGATCATTGATCAGCAGCATTGCGTTGTCCACTGCCGAGCAATAGCCGAATCAGTCACATGAGGCTACTGTGATGCGCGTGGAGATGGGGGACAAGCCTCACGCAAAAGGGAAGACGAGTCACATCTTAATCTTACAGCCGCGAACCCCCGCGCCTCAAACGTGGATCAATGTGCCGAAACACAGCCCTGCTCAAGCGGGCGATAGCTCGTAGTAGAGAGCAACAGACTTTGGAGGGCTGTTGCAGGTATAAGACACATGTTGCTTCTGCGCGCCAACACTGCAGGCGCGCGGACTTGATTCCTGCGTCTCGCAAAACGAAACAGTCCGCGTTGCTTTTTGATCACCGACGGCGCATCTGCACTGTGGAGCTCCAGGTCGCACAAGTCGATCAGGTAAGAGCGGGCCGTGACGCTAGAGCGAGTCGGGAAAGGCGGATAAAATTACCCCTGCCGCCGTTGAAGACTGGTTGTGGAACACAGTCTGACAGGCTACACAGCATGCGTCGAGTAGCGCTTGTATCTCGATCGCGGACCGTAAAAGGACGTGTTCAGTCGTGTATGATGCTTCTGCGCTCCAGGTGACTTTTTGTACTGTCCTCGGAGTGTGGAGACTGTCGGTAATCACACATCGGCAACCCGGCTCGACTCTCAACCTTCTGAACCGACGCTGACGTGGTAGCTCATTTGGTGGGCTCCGAGTCGGTTGGGTGTTTGCAATCCGTGGTTTGTTTGGTTCCAGGGTTCGAAATTGGGTTGACGACTGGAGGGAGGAAGTTTCCAGCCTGTCTCGAATCATGGGCGGAGGTCGCAATTACAACGCTAAAGCTTGCGTCCAAATTTGGCCCACAGGGCTACCAGACTCGATAGCTACATTAGTCGGCTTTGCGTCGACGCTTCACTTGACCTCGCCCCGAGGTAGCTGTCATTGAGTTGCGTTGACGTTATGCAAGGACGGCCCTTATTGTTGCTTCCAATGTTCCACCCGTGCTGTCCACCGCATTGGAATCGACAGCGCATGACAAGTAGGGGCATTGGTGTTTTTATGTCTGTCAATTGAATTCACAAGGGTGCCATGTGCCAATGGTGTGCGGTCGCGATAGGAACAAGGGTGTGATCATCTCGTCGGTCGTCCGGACAGGGTACGCGTGATGATTATTGACCACAGTGCTTGAGTCGAGGCTTGAGTCAGGCAGGAAGTGCAAACAGAGTCGCAACTCTGGTCGCCGACAAAGGATGAGTTGGAGATGCCGTTAGCCGTCTGGCATGATGTTGCAGCTCGCCATGTAACGGACGGAGGGTTGCAGTAGTGGAGGTCAACGTCTATCAACAGCAGGTGTGGTACGGTACGAGTAAGACGCAGACACAGACGGTGGAATCAGCCCTGTGGTCTGATGCGTCGGGCGCTCTTCCGGCGCCCCTCAGCTAGATCTATTTTGTTTGTGCAGTTGATTTGAAATGAAATGGGCAAGAGCTGGAGCTGGCGCAGCGGGTGTTTCCTGGGCCTCGCAAAGTGCCGGGCAGCCTCCGCAGTGGGCAGACCCTGGGCAGGTGAAGGAGGAGAGAAACGGTCGTCGGGTGTCCAGGCACGGCGATTGGGCCATTCACGGCGTGTTGGTCACAGCACTGGCGCTGGCCAGGAGGCGGGATCACCCTGGCTGATGCGATGCTGGCTTGCTGGCTGCAGCTAGGCGTCGAGGCTAGTAGCTCCGCGTATGTATGTGCTTGCCTTTCCGCACGGAGCCAACGGCTGTACAAGACTGTCGCGTCCTGTTGCAAACGGGAGCGAAGGTAATCTAACAGCTTTGGAGCGTACCGTCAGGCTGGCTCGCTGCAATGTCGAAGTTATAAAACTCTCCACGCTGCCCGCTGTATCCCTTTTGGACGCTCCGACCAATTCCTCACACTCCACCTCTCCACCAAGTACAAGCTCGCACTTGCTGCTGCTGCCCTTGCCGTCTCCTCGTCGACCATCAGTCCGGCACCCTCCCACCGCCAACAAGAAAGAAGCTTTGCTCCCGCCGCCGGCCGCCCATCTCTATCTTCTCACCGTCCTTGTTTATTCCTGACTTGACTTGTTTTTGCTCGTGCTCCTCCACCACACCCTCTTGCTCCTCCTTCCCCGCGAGCACGTTGAGCTGCGCTCCGCACGGCAGTCTCGCCCTCACCTGCAAGAAGAAAGAGCTCCCCGTCCAGCAGCCAATCAGCGCGTCACAGCTGCCACCCCGCCTTCCTCGTCTCCCACGCCGTTGCAGAAGGCGATACCCCCGCCGTACGACCCTAAACCGCGCGTTGCCCGCTGCCCGTTCGCCCACCCCCGCCAAACATGTGCACCAAGGTCGTACACAAATATGGCTGCGGCCACGAAATCGCCGAGAAGGCCCCATGCGCGACGTCGAGAACAGCTCCCTGCGGCGTCTGCAACACCAAGACCGTCAAGCACGACGAGAAGTGTGATAGATGCGACCATTGAGACAGGTGCGCCCGACACTCCCCAAACCCTACGCGTCACACGTGTCTAACACCCCGCCTCTGCAGTGTACCACCGTGAACTTCTTCGCACGATACCCCATCATCATGGCCAGTCCGCCGCACTGAGCCGCTCCTTCCTCGCAGCTCCCCATTGCGCGACTTATGGCCCTGATACACACCACCAGCTCCCCATTGAGCCTCTGGCCCCAAGCCTGCATTTCATGGCGTCACGGATTTCAAAAAGTATTGGCCTTCTTGGGCATTGCGTCTTAATTGGACCTTGGGCACTGCACGTCCGGCGTTTTGGATACAGGCCCGCGTTGCGAGACATTTTCTTACTTACTACATGGATACCACGTTCTCCTAATCATGTCGCGCAATGCGCCGACGGCGAACCACATGCCTTCTCTCTTCTTATCTTGTCATTGCTATCACTATATTTCTGTCTGCCGTCTCTAGCGCTTCGCAACGTTGGCATGAGGGACAATGTCCAGTATACGAGCGAGTCAATCAATCTCTACGCACCCGAGACGGACATGTCGTCCCCTCTCGGATCACCATAATTCATCCGTTGAGCTCATTGTTGTATTGCGCGACCTCCGCGCCGAACAAGACCATTCCCATGGCCAATCAATCTGCGCTGATCTGCGGTACAGTATCACGCATGAGGACCCATATGCAATGCCGTTTTTCGCCAATCGCCCTGGGCTTACGGCCTCCGCGATGCCATCAATCACAGTTCACGTAGCTCTCGAACCACCTCTGCGAGTCAGGCCAATCAAGCGAGCCGCCAATCCGCCATGTATATTGGGGCCTGACTCCCTTGTATATCAGCCTCGCACTAACAACCAGGTAAACGAGAGTACATGGTCAAGGCACCGCCCGTTCACGCCTCGTGATAGGACGCCATCAGTCAAGCTCCAGTCTTGTCATGCAGTACATGCTAGCATGTGCACCGGGCCTAATACTCAACCTGGGAACAAGGGGCGTTGTCGTATAACGCTCGAGGAGATATGGCCGTCTTACTACACCTCCGATCATGCTGAGGGACGGGCCGTGGCATGTTCAACGCCTCGTAAGCTTAGATGCGTTCGTCTAACCACGCCCAACTCAGCCACCATGGCAATAACCAAATCTCTTTCATACACTGATACCGAGTGCATGCAGCGCTTTCATGTAGCCAACAGCAAAGCCGCGGCCTGCGCCAATATGTACCCCGATCGCCAAATAACCGAGACTGTTATAAATGGGCACCTGATATGCGTCAAGCTCCGCACTGATCATCTGCAGCCAACCGGGTAACGCGTCTTCTAGAAGGCATTCAGCCTGACTGCCTTGACGGTTCAACCGAAAACTGAGCCACATAGACGCGGTAGTAGTGCCAGCGCCCTCGGTCATGCGTGTGATTGTGCATCGACCCTCCCTGGCTCTTTCAAGTTTCCTTGCCACACTGTTAAGAGCTAGTGCGACCGAGCTTAGATGGCAGTCTTTGAAAACATGGTGTGCTGTAGTTGATATCTTCATGCTCATTTGTTACCCCAGGCAGAGGCAAGACGCCTACCGGTGCGGACCCCTGCAACTACCGCACCATCCCTTGCTCTTGTTTCCTCGAAACATCACATGGGCGATCTGCGGCACAGAGGCGCTTGTAATAGCACGTGCAGAAACGCAGAGCGGCTCCTTTCGGGTCATCAATTAGACGACCTGCTTTCGAGTTAAGTCATACCTGTACTAACTTGGTACACCACCGCGAGCGGGTCTCACTACCCATCGTTGAGTCTAGTCGGCACGGGGCTACACGGAAGGCAGGGTTCTAATGCAGACGTGAATAGCTCATCACATTTGGACGTTTCGTGAAGAAATGAGGTGCGCAAGCGATGACTTCGTGGTCAGGATGATAAGTGGTTCGCGGCTCGGCGTCATCGTTTGTGCGCTCGGCCCGCGGTGGTCGCTTCCTCATTCGGTGTTGGTAGCCGCGACTTTCTTTCGTCAGCCCCAACCATCAATCTCCAGCCATGTCGATTGACATCAACTGGGACACCATCACGGGCGGTGCAGAAGGCTCCGCGCGTGCAGAGAAGATACGCGCCTTCATCCACGACCGGTTCCAGCAGGTGACGCTGCCACGATTCATTCGCTCAGTTCACGTGCATTCCTTCGACTTCGGCAGCGTACCCCCGGAGATTGAGATTAAAGACATATGCGACCCACTACCGGACTTTTACGAAGATGATGAGGACTATCCAGACGAACAAGGGGACGACCTGGGGGAAGACGACACCGAGCATGACGCCAAGTCACGCGATTCTAGCAACCCACCTAGTCATTCACCAAGGAATAGCCATTCCAGGGAACGAGGCCGAGAAGCAGACTTGGAGGAAAACACTCCCAATCAGAATAGATTACGCCCCTTTCAACCTCTTGCTAGACCATCCACCAAGCGCTCATCATTGGCTCCCCACGAGCTAGGCAGCCCATTCTTTCATGGAGCTCTTACTCCAGGCATCCCTGGTGGCACCTCCAACATGAACTACTTCCATCTGCCTCTAAGTGCAGGCCTCTCTGGTGCTACGACGCCTCTGGCCGCTGTAGCTGGCGCCCAGTTGCATAATTGGCTCGACGACCGTCACGGCCGGCCGAGTACGCCAACAAATATGCGTCTGCGGAACGCCGCGTCCATGAACTCGCTAACCCTCACGCCACAATCCCATCCAGATCCCAGCTCAAGACCCTCTTCCAGGCACCAACAGGACGATGGGAAGAAACAGTCCTTTGCCGGATCAGATGACAGTCACTCTCAGCACAGCTTCGGGCGGACACCATCCGCATCTCCTCACCGCATGCGTGAGAAGAGCCCTGATGATATACAGGTTGTGACCCATGTGCAGTACTCTGGCGACATCAAAATGTCTTTGACTGCAGAGATCCTTTTGGACTACCCCATGCCAAGCTTTGTCGGCATTCCTCTCAAGTTGAACATCACCGGACTCACCTTCGATGGTGTTGCGATCTTGGCATATATCAAGAAGAGAGCACACTTTTGCTTCCTGTCACCGGAAGACGCAGATGCTCTGGTCGGCGGAGAGAATGGTTTCAACGGTCTTCAGACAGACGCACAAGGTCAAAACCCACGTCCTGTGCAACGACCTAAGATCGGAGGGCTGTTGGAGCACATCAAAGTCGAAAGCGAAATAGGAGGGCAAGGCAGTGGTAAACAGGTCCTCAAGAACGTTGGGAAGGTAGAGTCATTCGTACTGGAGCAAGTCAGGCGCATCTTTGAAGATGAGTTTGTCTACCCAAGCTTCTGGACATTCCTGGTCTAGAGCTGCGAAGGCAGCATCCTGCAAGAAGTGAGTGGATGTGTAATCACATGTGCTATATGCACGAGCGGCCAAGAGGCTCAATAACGAAACCACAATGTGACATTGCGCATCGGCATTCTTCACCGCGGACAAAGGATGGAATTCATTTGAGCACGACATACATGACCTATACACTGTTGAGTCTATTACACAGCATGCACATATCCGCTTTTGGGGTCATACGAACGCGTTTATTCCCACTTGAGTGACAGGGCTGGAGTCTCACAGCAGCAACCTACCCTTATAGCAAGCTTTTCCGCCCTAGTCGATGCAAGAGTCATACAGCAGACGGTCCAGGAACGTGGGCTGCCGTTGTATTACATGCGGGTGCTAGCAGAAGCGATGAAGGACGGCATTTTGACAGCTACGTTACTGACAGCGGGAGTGACGGAATCAGACCACGTTGGTAGCGCCCAACCAGGAAAACATGACAGGTTCGATGCTCTTTTGAGTCATCAGTGCGAGTGTTACCGGCCTGTCAAAATCAAGCACCCGCTGGCATCGGCATCGGGCCCATTCAGGCGAGTCTCGCGCCGCGGTTGTGTCCCGTCCACTAGTGCACATACGATCAAACTTGCTATCATGTGTGTTGGTCATCGATGTCGCATCCTGCCCGTCTCTCCCCGCGATTCCCGTTTCCGTCGTGATTGCGCTGGCTGGTTGCGCATTGCCAGCATACAGCAATACATTCCGAGCAACATTACCAATATATGGTGCTGCGCATTTGACTTCACCGGTAGCTGAAACGTCCCCATCAGCAATTGACCAGTGATGTCGGACCATGACGGGGCAGGCCCAACAGGTTCCATACAAGATTTCAAGCTCTCCTTGAACGGTCACCGCAACGCAACGCATTGATACTAGAACACCGCTGCAGCCAATCGAAGTATGCCAGCAATTGAGACATACTTGCGCAATACCACTACGTATGCCCAGATGAAGTTGATACCTTTCATCAGCACCAAAAACGAGCAGCATGTCGATATCCTTGAGCATCACAATCCCAACACATGCGGTCTATTCTTGGATCGTCATAAGACAAAGTTTATACAATCCTTGGGACACGGAGAGTAACCATGCTCCGTTGTCTGCGCAATATTGCCGTGTCCTCTACGGTTATTATCACATATAGCTTGTTAGATTTATAGTACCAGCTCCGGCCTGGTAGGGATCGTAAGGCTGTTTTGTGTCTTGCATGGTTAGGACCGCGGACTTCCGACGACTGCTTTTGGCAGGTCTGGTGCCGGCATCGTTCGCCTGCAAAGATGATGCCGATGTTTTGACGGTGGCTCCTCTACCCTGGTTGACCTGAAACGTCAAGACTACGGAGGAGGTACGAGAACGTTGAATGCGGAAAGCACGTGCAGAAAGCATGTGATTGATCTCGACTTCGAGTTTCCAAGATGCCGCCATGATGCCTGGATTTGCTATTGCGTGTCGCTGATGCTGAGTCTTGAGCATTTTTGCATGATTGGCTGTCTGCACAGGTGTATATTCTGTTGACCTGGCATGTGAATGCCACTAGAACAAGCCAGCTCCGTCAACACAGGAAGCTGCGATGAAGCCGCAACTCAAGCTTCACAAAATAAACTCGAAGCAAGAAGATGCCCCTAGCTTTGAAACTGAAGCAGACATGGAATGAATTCGCGTCATCCGCGTGGGTTCTTCTCACCTAAGAAAGGGTTGTTTGTTCGGTTTCCGAATTCGCAGCAGCCTCGACGTGTTGCAAGACCTCTTATCTACCATGTAGCAACTTCTGACGACCTCTGCAGTCAGTAGCGAATCATGAAATCACATGCATCATGGTGCCTGCTGGTTGAAGCTGAGTGATCATGGACGCAAACTGGCGAATGACGTTCGTCGCTCCCCACCTTGCAACCCCACCCGCACTGACCTCTAGTGACGCACCAATGCACAATGCACTCTGAAGCTACTCGATCCACTCATGAGGCTGCGCAGACTCGTACGCTATGCTCGCGTTACTCAGGCTGCGAAGCTGCCTATAGCCTACAACCTCAAACGCTACCAATATCAAAGTCTACCTTCGCCCACTTGCATACGTCTGTTGGAGCTCTTACCAACTGCAAGCAATGGCGTCATACGTTGTTCCCTGAAGACGACTGAGCTGGAAGACGCACCTTCCTTTAAAGCCCTGTCTTACACATGGGGAAGTTCGCGTACCTCTATTCCACCAACATCAACACATGGAGGGACGGGTCCAAAGTCTCTGTTGACTACAAGAGTGAACTCGGCCCGTCAACACACCATCATCTGCGATGATCGCCTTGTCAAGGTCAATAGCAATCTTCGGGATGCACTCCTCATGCTCAGCAATGCAGTCAACATGCCGCACATGCCGAAAACACCCACCTACTACTGGATAGACTTTTTGTGTGTGAACCAGACAAACATTGAAGAAAGAAATGCGCAAGTTGCCAGCATGGCCGACGTCTTCAAAAAAGCAGATGGTGTTGTAGTCTGGTTAGGCAAAGAGGACCAATACACACAGGACGCTCTTACCACGATGCAGAGGATATCGGCGACTCCTGAGGGAAAATGGCCGCTAGTGCCGTACACCTCATTTTATAATCCAGAAGAGAGTCCGTTGGTCTTTGCTACTAGACTCACCTTCTATAACTGGCTAGGTTTCATAGTCCTAATTAATCGCCCATGGTTCAAGAGGGCTTGGGTAAGCCCGCAACAAGCGTATACCTGTACGACGTATAGCTGACTCCTCCAGGTCATTCAAGAAATCGCGCTTGGCAAGACAGCCCTGGTGGTTTGTGGTAGCAAGGTATTTCCCTGGGAACTTCTAGCCAAAACACTGTCTTTTGTCAAGATTACGCGATGGTATCATCATCTGCGTTCAGAGAAGCTGAGGCACGTGAAAGAGTTGCGGAAACAGCCCGGTATCTACAGGCAAGTCCTCAAGTCGAAACTTGAAGTCGGAATCAGCCCTCTGAATCTTAACTCCACTCGACTGACTGCATCGTTATTGGCCGAGACGAACGGCCAAGTGGTCAGCCACTCATCTCTTCGAAACCTCCTAGACAAGCATCGCTTTGCCGAATCCTCAGACCCAAGGGACAAGGTCTATGCTTTCCTCGGCCTTGCCAATAAGAGCCTATCACCCTTCCGTACGCAGCCAAATGCGCTTATCCCAGACTATAATCTCAGTGTGCAAGAAGTCTACACCGAAACCGCAACCGTTCTTATGTCTTCCTATAAGAATCTTTCCTGGCTATCGCACGTGGAAGACGCTTCACAAAGACAGATATCTAATCTACCGTCCTGGGTGCCTGATCTCAGTGTATCGCCCCAACCATATCCGCTCCGCTACCGTGGTCCCGCACACTGGGCAGCTGCTGGTAGCCGCCATTGGCGTCCAGCTGTAACAAACATGAGGAAGGGATTACTTCGGGTCCAAGGGATACAACTAGACCATATTGATCAGACTTCACTACTTATCGACGAATCAGAAGACCCTTCTGCAGGATGGGCAAGCATCGTGAATCTAGCTCTTTCTCTCGACTCTCCTTATCCAGACCCCGGTGCAACTGGCAAGACACCATCGCGTGTCGAGGTACTATGGCGGACACTGACTACCGACATCTACAACCACACATACCCATCTCCATCGGAAACGGGCTTGCTGTTCATCGACTACATTCTCAACCTCCAAATCAGACATCGCTTGACACCATGGTCCAGCGCTGATGAATTCCAACCCCATCATTCTCCACTATCAGATTTCATATATCCTAATTGGCGCAAGCTCTTCGAGCTTGAACCTCCAGACTCACAATACAAACTGAGCTCGTACACTAAGCGCCTGACTACGGTCGTGGAGAGTATGTTCAATGGCACGTACTCGCCAATCGGGCTCGCACAGCTGCAACACGAGCTTGATCAGAGTGGAGGGCGGCAGCGGAGACTCTTCAAGACACGCCGAGGCTTCATGGGCACTGGAGCGAGATCGTTGCGTGTAGGTGATGAGGTCTGGGTGTTGTACCGTGGTGGTCTTCCTTTTGTGTTGCGGCCTTTGCCCAATGGTCATTATCGTCTTGTAGGAGAGTCGTTTGTGTATGGGGTCATGCATGGTGAGGCGCTGAAGATGGGTCTTTTGCGTGAGGATATTGTCCTCGAATAGGAAGCTTGGATGATCGTCGACTAGTCAGCCCGTCGAAGCGGGCAGCTGGGCTCTTACTCGGTTTGTGCAGTACTCTAGATCGTCCACCTGTCACTCACTGTCCAAAATATAATACCCTAGACATGATACAAGATCTGTCTCAAAGATTCCGTTCGTTTCTTCATCGATCCTCTTTATCCGAAGATATTATGGAGAAAATTTTGTGTCCTTTCACATACGACCATAGGACACTGGAAATTAGGCTTCCCGTCCGCTCAGCCATATACAAGCAGTGTACCGGCGGATTAGTAGTTAGGTGGGTGACCACTAGCGAATCCCCGCTGTTATATGTTTTTTTGTTTGGATTTTTGCTCGACTTTTTTTTATTTTAGGTTGGTGGAGGTGGAGAACCTTGGGAGGGAAGGGGAGGCGGGGTTGAGTAGATCACAGCAGAGAGACGAAGAAAGACACAACTTGTGTGGTACGCAGCAGCCAAGACAGCACTGCAAGATCAGTTGATTCATCCCAGTCCCTTCCTAGATATTTTGTTGCTTAGTGATGAAAATTCCCCGAAGACATCCCATCTTCTCTAACATCAACACCAAGAAAACATTCCCCCCCAAGATGACCCAGATACCGAAGCCTCCTAGATTCAAGATCGAGAGGAAGAAGACGCCAAAACGCGCACCCAAATGTTTTGTGATTCAAAAAGAGATAAAGAAAAAAGGGAAGCTGAACTTCCATGTCCCACCAGCGCCATGCTTGCTATGTACAGTTGCTGCTTTGCAAAAACAGGAATAAAAGTAGAAACAGAAAACCGTTGTATCAAAAGACAGGATTAGAAAAGTAGCGATTAGGTGGTATCGTGCGTAGGACATTAACAAGGAACTTCGTAGACAGAGTTGGGAAAGATCAGAAAGCGTTGTGGAGACGGCAGATGTCACTGTCGCTACGCAGCGGGCGGCGAAGTCATAGGCGATACAGCAGGCGATTCATCCGCACGACGATTCTCGCTTGTGCTCGTCCCAGATACAATGGTAAAAGGTGCTGTAGTGTTCGCTCCAGGAGCTGGGACTACCACTGCACCGTTTGTTTTGGGGCCCAGTTTCGCGGAACCAGGCGGCGTTGTATCCGAATCCTCTTCCGGAATCGTGGGGCAGTATGTTTTGAGGACGTGTTTGAGGGCGGGCCGGCGAATCGGTTTCGAGAGGAAGAAGTCCATGCCTGAGTCGAGGCATTCCTGTGACATGTTAGCATATGGGTAGTCGGAATGGGATCATGGGTTACACACCTTCACATTGCTCTCCTCCGCGTACGCTGTCAGAGCGACGATGGGAGCTGAGAAGCCGGACTGTCGGATGAGTCGCGTTGATTGCAGACCATCCAGGTTGGGCATTTGGACGTCCATGAAGATGAGATTGTATGGAGCTTGACGTTCCATACTCTCCATGACCTTGTCGAGTGCTTCCTGGCCGTCCTTCGCGACAGTCACATCGTACACATCTTCCAGCTTCAACATGCGCAGTACGACCTCTTGATTAGTCTTGTTGTCCTCAGCGACGAGCACCTTGACTTTGTCTCCTCGTTTTGTTGCTTCGGCTTCCACCCGCTTCATAGCCGCGACCTGCGAGTTTGGCGATTCTAGTGGCGCGTTCGAAGCGAAGAAAGGCTGACTGAGACCAACAAGACGGGGTTGATTGTCGGTGTCGAATGCCACCGGCCCTTGTGGAGCAGTAGCAACGGTGTTCCCAGCGACGATCGGACCACTTGTAGCGGATTGTATCGAGCGGGCCGAAAGCGCGTCATCATGTGAGCGGCCTCGCTGCGGCTCGTCGATCGACAGACTCCGGCGCGGTGTCCCGGTTTCCAGGTTCACGTTTCTTGAGCTTGCTGTACTGTCGGCCCGACTGGTGAGATGCTTCAACGGTATTACCATGGTAAACACACTTCCGTGTCCGACCTCACTCTTGAGACCAATTGTACCCTTCATCAACCCAGCAAGTTGCGAACAGATACTCAAACCAAGGCCTGTGCCTCCAAACTTCTTGCTAAGCCCCAGATCACCTTGAACAAAAGGCTCGAAAATCTTGGAGTGTAGATTGTCAGGTATACCTGGACCAGTATCTTCCACCTCGAATTCGAAAGACAACCATCTTCCGGGCGGTGGTGTCGCAGCTCGCTCTTGTGCCATGTAGCGGGCGAACGCGTCTCCTTTGCCCATGACGTTGATGACATTGGCAGTGCCGTAGTTGTGGTCTGGTGGTGTGGCAACCGAAACGGATCCTACCTCAGACGCAGAGGCTCTCATGCGAGTTTTTGAGTTGCGTGTAGAGCTTTGTCGTGATTGTAGGGAGGCTTTGCGACTGTCAGACATGTGGGCCTCTCCAGGGCAACGGATGGTAAGCGTAACAGAACCGCCTTGTGGAGTGAACTTGAGACTGTTCGATACCAAGTTGATAACAACTTGGAGTATCCGATGTTGATCACCGTACAAGACCATGTCCTTGAGACGGCCTAGTCCGAAAGGTCCGAGATCGCGTAGTTCGTTGGGTCGTCCGTTGTCGTCCAGATTATTCTCATATGGTCCCTCGAATTCGACGGCGAGCTTGATACCGCCCTCTCTTGCCTGCTTTTCGAAAATGGCCAAGACTTGCGAGCTGATATCGCGTAACCGGAATTCCTTCTCATCTAGACTTAGTTGCTGACCAACCTGGTTTTTGCTGAACGTCAAGAGATCTGTGAGTAGGTTGAGTAGCAAGTCTCCGCTCTTGTAGATGATGCCTAACGATCGTCTTAACTTGATTGGGTCGTCTTCCGACATGCACACAGCGCACATGCCCAAGATACCGTTCAGCGGCGTCTTCAACTCGTGCGAGATGTTTGCGATGAACAAGGTCTTGCTTTCGTTGGCCGCTTCAGCCGCCTTCTTGCTCTGTTCGAGCTCAGCCGTTCTTTGTGCTACCCTCTCCTCCAGTTTCTCGTACTGCATCATCAGCTCGTCCGTCATCTCGTTGAAGGTGGTCGTTAAGTCGGTGAGTTCGTCGTGGATGAAGTGCTTGCGGTCCTTGACCTTGCCTGGAATGCGGAACTGCCTCCGCCTCGCTGCTTCCTTCTTCTCTGCACGGTTGAGTTTTGCATTCCTCCGATAATGAACGATCTGGCCAAAGAAGCCTTCTTTACGGGCAAGAGCCCCGTCTTCCGAACTGTCATTGGGACCATCGTTTTGCGAGCTGAAATCATCGTCCTCAAACATGTGGGGCGCTACGGTTTTCTTGGTCGCGTCTCGGAGTCTTCGGATCGGCTGGCTGGAGAAATGTGCTACAGGAAACGTGAGGAGTAACATGGCACCCAATGTGCCGAACACACATGCGATGATGACATTGCGTAGGTGGTAGATGGGTCCCCAGACTTCATCATGGGTTTGCTCTACCACAACCATCCAGTCGACCATAGGACTATTGATGACAGCGTATCCAACGGCAACATTGTCGCCATCCTCATTGCTGGTAGAGATGATGCTTCCAGCGTTGTTGGTGGCACCAGTGGGCTTGGTGAAGCCCTTGCGTATGGCGGGATACTTGGTCCAGGAAAATGGCGGTGGATCGAGAGCAGTATCGTATTGGCCATGCCTCTGCACTTTTGATCGCTGCGTTGGCGGGGCAAGATAGCGCACCTGTACGTCCTCGGGAGCGCTAGGGTTTGCAGCATCGTACAGGTACTCGGCAGGGAAAGCATTGGTGGCATTGTTCGGGCCGAAAAGCAGGGTAAGACCGCTCTCGTCGAGGCCCTCCATGGCGTTGACAACATTGGTGATGAGCGATGCATCCAAGACAGCCGTCAGCCATCCAAGAGTATCAATGTTGGACGTGTTATTGATGATGGGAGTGGTAATTGACACTAGGCTGAGTGTTTCGTTGACGCGGTATGGGCCGGAAAAGAGGTAGCTGGTGTTGTCGATAGTTCTGCCTTCGTAGTGTGCCTTGTACGTGTTGACAGTGTCATTGTATGGTATGGTCTCTACAGTGAACTTGGGATAGAGCTCTGGGATGAAACCGTACTCGGTGTCGCCTAGTGTTGCATTCTGTCCGTCGGGCTTGAGTATGGGCAGCACAACGTCCATCATGCTGTATGCAGTCCGACTGAATATAGAGCGCTCGGAGGAGTTGAAGGGGTATATCTGGGCTTGGATAGCCACACGGGTCCGCATGTCACCGGAGAAAATGGCATCATAGTCCTCCTCGACCCGGGACCAGTTTTCATCCGATAAATTTCCACCGTAGTATCGGTTGAGGGCAGACTGTGGAGAGAGACGGTTGGCAGCCTGTTGAGTGAGGATTTGCATGAGAGCCAGGTTCGACGACAGTTGGGCGGCTTTAAGAGAGGCTGTCAGCGTGAGACGAGTCGACCTAAGCGGAGGATTAGTACGGCGCGTCGGTGGTGTGAAATGGCAAGATTTACCGTATATTCAAGACGAAGTTGTGGTTGGTGAGCTGGCAGAGTTAGTACTGGTACGGACGAATATACAGCGTTGGTAGGTACCCATGTTGCGACAGCTATCACAGCCAGGCCTATCATGGAAGCCAGCAGAACCAGACATCCCAACTGCTCACGGATGGGAATCCGCATCTTGACCATAACCCTGCGAGGCGTCGCAGGCTACACGTCGGACGTGCTGTTGAGGGGAGCAACGCAGCCCGGAGAAAGCGAGAGAAAGCGCAGTCGGGGCGGATCTCAGTCAGCTATCCTAGCGGTACCGGCGAGGTGACAGACGCGAACGACGGGAGTTGTCGGTGGAGTGTGTAGGATGTGCGTATCCCATTCCTCGCAGTGGGCGGCGGCGACGGAGTTTTCGCTTGGGTGTTGTGGACGATCAGAGGCAGATCTCGATGCAATCTGGGGTGCGAGTCGCAGAGGGCAGGCGAGGTGGAGTGAAAGCACGGCAGAGGCTACTACGCCCGAAGCAGCAAGACAGGTTCGGCTTTAGGTTCTACAGGGTATATTTTGCTTTTGGCAGCAGGTACCGTACGATTCTTGCGTGCGCGAAAAGAGAGGACGAGCCGGTGTGCTCTGGCGGGCGGACTAAGGTGCGGATGAGTAGCAAGAGACTCAGCGCACGTCGCGTCCACTGTGATGGAAAAGGATGGAGGGCGGACCTCCCGGGGAGAGATTGGCATGAGTTCCCTTTGGGTTAGAGCCGTCAACCGCTGAACATGGGCTGACAGCTCTAGGCTCGCGCGCTGCCTTGGGTTCGCCACGCCTTGCCAGCATTCCGCGGCATGGACTGAGCAAATTACCTGGCCGAGAAGAGAGTGCAATCTGACCGCGCAATGCCGACGAGCCACACCTGTCCTCATTTTGTTGCGCTGCAGCACCAAGCGTGTTGTGTGCGTCTTGTCCGGCTCGCTCTCCACCAGCAAACACGAGTTCAGGCCACTTGGCAAGCGGGGATGGCCTTGTCGTCTTGAACGGGCCCCGTCTCCACTTGCTCTTTTGATCGGCAGATTAACTGGATCCGTTGCGATCCAGACTTTCACCCTAGTCGGCCTTGTGTCCTGTCTTGCCGCCGGGGCAAGACTGGCATGCACTTGCATGACCAAAATAAAAAAAAGAAAGACGTGTGCAACACCAACTTCTCAACGGCTGCTAGGTGCTTGCTGACAGTCGTTCAAACGGTCCGCGCCGCTGTCTCGAGTAGTGCGCTGTCAAGTCGCCTTTCTAGTCAGTCTCATGACACCCAAACCACCCGCCTGGTAGACGATGCCCCGGATCGACAACCCTCTAGTCTTTAGCTACCTTCTCGGCCCTTCCACACGTGGCATAAGCATAGCAATGTGAACTTTTGCATGTTTCACGTCTCGCGATATGTCTTCGTTGTACCCAATCATCAACTACATATATTATCCTGCCCAGTTGCCCACGGTTGAATAGCCTGCTGTCGAGCCCCTATGCAACGACGGCAGCGGCGTGCCTCCTGTCACAGAGCCTACCCTCGCCAACCCATCCATCTTCGGATTCGTATAGTTCCTGCCCATTCTTTTGAAGAAGGTGAGGACAACTATGGTGCCACAGATGACTTTGTCAATCCCACCCGGCGCCAGTGTCAGCCCATCGCGAAACACAGTCATCTCACCGACCTCAGCGCCTCTAAGAGCCAACACACCTTTGTCTGAAAACGTAAAGCGCGCAATGACCTTGCTAGAGCCTTTCTCGTACACACCCAATGCGATCGGTCGCATCTCGAGTACCCAGACGTATGTCTTGTTTCCAACCGTGAGACTCCAGTCTTCAAAGTTCAGCGACTCCATCTTGTACTTTGTACGCAACCCGTCCTCCGAAGCATAGTCAAAATGCGCGCGCGGCCGCCAGGGGAACCCTCCGTCGTTGTCATACGAAAGGGCAGCTATATTGCGCTGGCGCATATCCTGCGACGTATGCAGCACCTCCATCTCCGGCTTCTTCGAGAAGACACGGAAGCTGTTCGTTGTGATTCTGTACGAAGAGGCGAGCGGCCCATTGTAGGCAGCGAGCATCTGTATCTTGCGGTCATACTGGCGAAGATGGTAGGTAACAAGGGGCCCGTCGTATGCGCCGTCATCGTAGGCTGGAGCCGTCTCAGCCTCGCCGTAGCCCGGAAGCTCGTCATCGTGCGCAACGTCCAGGAAGTCGAGAGCATCTACGCGCTGTGTAGCTGCCATTATGCATTTGGTCGTCTAGTATGCCGCTGGTCAGAAGGCGCCGGCATATATACCCTCGCTTGATGCATTGCACCCGTATGGAATGCGAGATTCATTGCGCGTGTGAGCAGTCCGTTGACCTATGACGAGGACAAGACTAGGACGAGACCGGTGCCGAGTCTGTCCAATAGCTGTGTTAGTCATCGTTACACGCGTGAATTTGGTCTGCCTTGCAAACAGCCTCCATTACACGCCGTGCAAACGACCATGAACGGACATTTGTTCACTGAAACGTAAAACCCGTCGAATACAGACGCGTGAAGCCTTGCGAAGAAGAGGTTTGACGCGTGAGGTGTCCGAGTAATAGCGACATCCTTCCTTCCCCACTGACCACTAGCGTCTGGCCCGTGCGCTTTACTCTCTGCACACGTTAAGAGCTACCAACACAACCCAAATAATCTGAGGTTGCGGGTTTGCGAATAAATTCTCCACTAGTAGTCACGTCGTTTCCACAGGGGGCCATGTTTATCTTCCATCAACTCGATGCCACGACTACTGGCTGGCTGCAAAAAGCAATATGCGTCAGAATGGCTCATACACCTCTAGACTGATTTGGCAAAACGCAGCAGCAAGCGCAACCCCAAGTCGCTACCAGTCCCAAATCTCAGCCTCGCCCCTCAACGCGCCAAGCTCTTGATATCTTACATACATAAATGTACATCAGCCACGATGGTTTCGCTGCAATTACCACGACTTTCAGGCTCACACTCATTGTTCCGCTCGCTCGTTTTCAGAACAAGCCAACATTACGGATTCACTCACTACTTCCGCCTTCAAAATGACAGACTCAAAGCCCCTCGTCTTCTATGACATCTCCTCACCAATACAACCTCGCTCTTACGCACCCAATCCCTCCAAAGCCCGTCTAGCCCTTAGCTTCAAGAAAGTTCCCTTTAAAACAACATGGGTCGACTTATTAGACATCACCACCGTCCGCAAGGGGCTCAATTGTCCAGCCACACGCAAGTTAGACGATGGCTCAGACTACAACACCCTACCCATGCTGCAAGACTCTTCCTCCAACAAGATCATTGGGGACAGTTTCGACATTGCAAATTACCTCGAAGACACGTTTCCAGATTCTGGCGGCTGTCTCTTTCCAAAGGACTCCAAGGGCACAGGACTGGATTATGAGAGCCCGAATAAAGATACCATGTTCTTTGCGCCTCTGACGCTAAACGAGGGTGCGAAGAATGAGGCGTATGCAAAGTTCAACACGCATGTCGATGCAACGTTTTCTGCGCATGTCATCCTTGTCTCGCAGTACATGCCGTTTAATCCTGAGACTGCAGAGGCCGTAAAGGCGCAAATGTGTAAGCGAGCGCATTTGGAGTCTTGGGATAGTGTATTTGTTCAGGGTGAGGCTAGGGAACAGCTCAAGGTGGCGTTCAAGGCGGCGCTGAAGTCACTAGCAGACTTCTTTGTGGTAAACGAGGGGGGCCCCTTTTTGGAGGGCGAAAAGGCGAACTATGCGGATTTAATTGTGGGTGGGTGGTTAAACATGATGGCGAAGTGCATGCCAAAGGAGGAATGGGAGGATTTCAAAGAATGGCATGGGGGTGTGTTTGGGAGGTTGCACGACGTATTGCAGGAGAGGTATTTTGTGTGTGTATGATAGGGATGGGTAGCTGGGATCGTCAGCTCGATCTATATTTAAGCTGAAATGATCCTCTTCGAACATCCAGTTCAATAATGGGTTTGCCTCATCGATCGACTGATACCCAAGAGCACTAGTATTTTCTTGACCCATCTCAAGACCTTATCACGCTGTCACTGTTATTACCTTTCATAGTCACTGGAGTTGCACGAGAAGTTGCGTCACTATTTGCATGAGGGATGCAGATACCGTGCAAGTATCCTTCGTGTATATCACGGGATTATTGAAGCAAGTCATAGCCACTGAGTGTTATATGACCTTGAATACCATTGCCGCTAATACTTGGAGCGCCGTCACGCGCCCTTCTGTTCTGTCTAAGATACAGGCAGTAGAGTTCATGCTCGGGCTTCCCGGACTACGTTCGTCGGCGTAGACGTGTCCGAGGCTCTGATGTAGAATACTCGCGAGGATATCAGAGAACGTCCTCTGTATCAGAGTTGTAAATTGGAAAAGGGGTAGGACACGGGAACGGTCCTGGTTGGACCCTCTAAGCCCGCCAGAGCTTCCAAAAACACCTTGTCCTGGTCGTCTTCCCACTCTTCTCGTTCTGCAGCCTTTTCTGCATCATCTGTCAAGTCCTCGAACATTGAGAACCCACTAGGGAATGTCCCAAAATCATCATAGCCTGAGAAGTGGCCTTTACGGCGATGGTCTTTCTGCACCTTCCAAATCCACTTTTTCTGCCAGTCGACCGATGAGAGCGTGTAGTAGTCCGAGACGTCATATTCCTCGAGCCCTTCAATGTCCCAAGCAAGTACACTTACTTTGGCATCTTCCGTGAGCGACTTGTTAACTACTGCGCGTGATCGCTCCAGAGCTGGCATACAGTAGATGTGAAAGGCATGCCATGTGAGTAGGATCGTCAGTTGAAACCCCTTCTTGACTCGCACGTTCAAGAGCACTTCAAGATGGTACCGAAAAGTTTCCAGGCCTTCCGTACTCTGGAGTTTGCATCTTGTCTGCTCGCCTCGTCCGATGAGAACGTCTTGACGTAAGGGAATTTCAAGGCGCCGGATGTGATCGAGAGGCTTGACACCCAGGTGGAAGTGATCTCGATACACCAGGTCAGTGAGATCTTCAAGGTGGTCAGGCTCTACGGAAAGAGATCGGGTGCTGCGATAGTAGGCTTTGACAACCTCAGTAGCGACGTACATCCCGACGCACTCATGGTGCGCCCAGCACGGAAGTTCCCACCAATCGAAGCAACGACAGTTGTCTTGCGTGCAAGGTATGGCTCAAGGCACGACTTTGGTCCCCTTCCGTTGCTGATGGCTGTCCTGTGAGGATGGAGGAGACTCAAGTGAATTGTCCGAACTGTTTCCGTACAGAGTCACGTCGTCGAAGGTGAGGCAGAGCATGGTCCAATCCCAGACGTAGTCGTAGACCATCTCGCGGAGCTCGCACGGTAGGGTGACGTAAAACTTGTCGGCGAAGGTACGACATAGCTTCTTAGCGATGAAGCGGCTGAGCTGGTCACATTCGCTGCCCACGTCTGTTCGCCTGGTCCTCAGCTTCGCGACTTTTTCTTCCAATGGATCAAGTTTGCGTCGGAAGATTTCTTCTGCGGGAGACCTACAAGACGTGAGCATTAGTCAAGAGTTGTCTCGAAATTCTCGTCACTGACCTGTCAAAGTCCGCCTCAGCGGCCTCGAGCGTGGGCTTGTTGTCACTGAGCGAGGCCGCGTCCCCCATCGTTGTTGCTTGGGCTAGACGACAAGTTGCCGAATGTGGCTACGTATAAAGCATTGGGACAACGGGTGTTGAGTAACGCGAACAAGGGTTCGCGCTAGTGACACGCTAACCGCGATTGCTGGTGCAGGTGTCACGAAAGAGGAAGTAGCCCTGTGAAGTTGCGCAGGTGTCACGTTCGCGAAGTTACGTATGATATGTAGCCCTCAAAACCCAGTTTCTCAGTGCTGTACCCTCAGCAGCGACGCTCTTTTCCACTTTCCATATAGCATGTTGCATACTCAGCAGCCATCATGTCCTCGCAGCTGGTGTTCAGGCCTTTATCAGAGGATGAATTCCGCATACTAACACTTCTACCTGCAACATCGTTGTCAGCACCCCTCAGATTTCAGATCTTCCACACGAAATTGTGCATTCCGCAGGTCCCTTACGCAGCAATATCGTGTAACTGGACTTCCAGGTCGGACGGTAATGATCACAGCAATGGCGACCTCTATGAATTGGTGGACGTCGATGGCCACGAGACATCCCTCTGCCATAACCTGGCGATGGCAGTGCGTTCTGTTCGTCTCGAGGTTTCACAATGCCTTTGGGTATATGCATTATGTATAGACCAGTCCAACACGGCTGAACGAAACATCCAAGTAGTGCGCATGTAAAACATCTTCTCAAATGCTACCAATGTTTTGGCATCGCTGGGACCAGCTGCGAAAGGTAGCGGCCTGGCGATGGACTTCCTTGCACACCTGGCAAGGCACTCTTGTGAAGAACACATTGGAGCTTGGCTTGGGAACGAAGGCGTGCATCCTTCTACGCACGTGCTTCAGGCTTTGAACGAGCCTGGCGCAGCATGCGCGAGTTGAGATTTGGCGGGGTGGATTTACAGCATCTTGTCGAGACTGAACTGGCAGCTGAACAATACGACCACTCTACATCTGCATCATTTAACCCTCTTTGGACAGCTCTCGAGCATAGCGCTGGCCAAGCCTGTTTCGAACGGTTCGTATTCACTACAAGCGGAGGATATCTTGGAATCGGTTCTTCCACAATAGAGCCCGGAGACAAAGTCGTCATACTCCTGGGTTGCAAGGTGCCGGTGGTATTACGGCCGCTTGATCAGGGCGGCTACAAGCTAATCGGGGAATCGTATGTAGACGGCATGATGTACGGTGAGATGATGATGAAGGTAGTAGGACAAGGCATGTCTTCCACGTCGATTGAGTATCTTGACATTCTCTCGAAGCTTCCGTGGCGCGCGCGCACTATCGGAGATGTGGTAGCTTTGTAATAGTCGAATGCAGTATAGTGAGGTATTGATGCTCAGGCAGACTGGAGATGGAGGCGATTCGCTGAAGATCGGCGGATAAAGTGGGCCTGATCTAGACTCCAGAATTCTAGACTATCGAACATGGCGATCGCAACTCAGAAAGTCGGAAGAAGAAAATTGCTCTCGTTCTCGGATATAAACTGTTTGAATTTTATCGTATTTACCACATATGTACACTGGCCCGCTTCGCCTTTTTTAGGCTCATTGGGCATCGTAAGGGGCGTCTGTCCTCATGATGTAGATCTCGCCGACGAGGACAACCAGACCGACGAGCATAGTAATCGCAATGATAGGCAGGTTGACGCGTGCAAATTCCAAACCGCCGACATGGATGTGTTTTCTGCCCAAGATATCGCGCCAAAGCATGCCTGCTAGCGATGCACTGAAGGCCAGACTGAAGGCACCGTAATTGACGCCAATTGCCATGCTGTAAATCGTGCCCCAAAAGGTTCGGTCGGAGATCGGATTGCCATTCAGACGGTGAATCTCTTGCCATGCCTGGATCACCCTAGAAATGAGGATTGTGGTGCCAATGTTGGTACCAGCGAACTACTCAAACATTAGCTATTGGCATTCTGCGACAGTACCGAGAACTTACATTGCACAATATGACTGAGACGAAGCCCATACCGCCGATTGCACCAACTGTGCCGGTCTTCTCAACCCAGTGATCCCATCCGTGTGCGAAAACTGGAACCCAGCCCTTAGTGACCAGGGCCTGGACCAGTACGAACATACAGAATGCGAAAGGGACCAGCGCCAAGGGAAGATGATGGAAAACGGTCATGGTTGTCGGGAATGTCTCCTGTGCCCATCTATATGTGTCTGCGACGAGCGACGCTAGAGTGGTTGGTATTGGCTTCTTGCTTGGCTCCAACTTCTTTTCTTCCTGTGACACGGGTTCAAGCTTTATCATTTCGTGTGTTCTCCCGCTCAAAATGTGACTGGAGGCCTCAGCCAAGGTATGAGACTTTTCATCAGAGTCCTGGTTCGTTTGCTGATCCGATTCGGGGGTGATTGCGTCCGCTTCCTCCTGTGTGATAGACTTCCTCCTTATCTCCCTTTCGGCGAGTGCGGTCTCTGCTCTTCGTCGGCCCTCGTGAGCGATCTTCCGCGTCTCTGCTCTACTAAGCCACCCCATTGTGAGATCGAAAATGAGCATGACGAATGCGGCGGGTAGCGTGACCCAGAACACTGGGCGTTCGTGCGTGCCTTGAGAGGCAGCATTGATCGCTAAGACGGTAATAAGGGTAGCTGCCATGATTGCTGCTCCGAAAATCGCGCCTTTCTTATCCAAGAAGGGATTCAGAACTTCCTCGAGGGACATCTTCTTCTCTTGTTCGTCGTCACTACTGTTTGGATCACCGTCGCTCTCTTCTGGCCCGCTTTTGGCGAAAGGAATATTGGGATTGACTGGCTTCTTGTTCTGTTGAGGAGCATTTTGTCAGCGTATATAGCACACACCTTTTTTTGGTCGCTTACCTTGAGCTCATCGGGAAGATCCTCCATCTTGATGGATGCAGGGATAAGAGACTCATCATGGAAGATAATGTATAGCAAGAAAGGATACAACACGACTCCTGTAACAAGAACCGGAACGATGATATTTGCCGTGTACTTGATGAACGTGATCTCAAATGCGCCAGCCAGGACAAGGTTGGTAGGGTTGGAAGACACCAGTATTGCCGATGCGATATTTGCACAAGAGAACTGCGTGAAGATCCAAGCTCTTGGGTGCTTGATGTTGCTTGATACGCGCGTCATATATGACAGGAAGGCAGTACCAGACAGGATAACCGGGTCGTTTCCAATGAAAGCTGTGAGAAGGAAGAAGAAGGCATACAGGTAGAAGAAAAGTCGATGGCCGACTTTCCCTCCCTTCTGCAGCACTTTGAAAGCCAGCCATCTGATGAGACCGGAGGCGTCGACCGAGATGGCGATATAAGCAAGAGAGAGAAAGAAGAGCATAATATCGTACGGCACGATACCCTGATCGCCAAGAGTGCCGCCTTTTACTTCCTTCGCACCAATAGCAAGGATAGCGAGCAGAAAGAGGTCTGCTACCAGCGGAGCTGTAATGAAGTTCATTGGAAAGTCGAATCGCACGAAAGATCCAGGCTTGCCATTCCGGACTCTAGTCGGATGTTGTGGTGGTGGTATGATGCGCAACGCACTCACGATCTTGAGGAACGGGGTCCATATTATCCGTGGGAGATAGATGGGAACGTGGAAAGGAAACAGAACATTGATGTCTATAAGCGTTGAGGATTAGTTGAGTTTGCGACGTCAGTACAACCATCCTACTTACTTGTCAAAACAAAGACAATCAGTGTCACTATAGAGCGCCATTCTTTGATCTTACTAGTATCAAGGTCTGGCCTTTCCGATTGGGTGGCACGCTGAGAGATCATGTCGTGTCTTGGAGTAATGCTTGGAAGCCGCCGTGCAAATTGCTTTTGGGGGCAGAAAAACTCCAGGAGGTATCTTGACGGTTAAAGTGTGCCCAAATCAGGCTTTTGGTAAGGCCCGATTGAAGAGTGCATGTATACGCTAGACGTTACAGGCGATCTGTGAGCCGGCGTGCCTGGACCTTAGTCGTGACCGTGAGGATCAGTACCGATGCCGAGAAATTGCTTGTGCCATGTGCGAGATGACGCGCGACATGACCCTGGCGGTAGGCAAGTGAGGCTCTTTGTATTACCTTGATAAGTGCAGGCTAAGAGGCGGTGTTGTAAAAAGGCTTGCTGCCGAGGATGACAAGATGATGGCATCTGGGCGACGGTTGGGCCGCTAACAACTAGCCCCACCCGTATTCGAAAAGGGTCCAGTCGCGGGCTGGTCATGCCGTCTACTCAGCCTCTCGCCTTATGCAACTGTAGCACGTCAATGCCATATAGTTCACCGGTGGGCTGCATTACCCCAGATCATTGGAGATCTACAGCACACATGGAACGCCTTACTGTCCGGAGGCGCACCCGTTTGCGCAGTGCGCATTACCTTTGCCGCTGCTCTCCCTTTGCGACAGTCCGCTCAGTAATGTCTTCATCTCATCTGCCTTTGCTCGTACTATGTGAGCATCTCGGCAACTCGAGCGCTATCCACGTTTGCGACGCAAAGTGTTGCGACAGCTACTTCAACAGCTACAATGTCTAGCCCTGCAGTACAAGTCGTTTGTGCCTGGCCAATTTCATCCAACTATGGCGCAGGATCGCGTGTTAGTACTCCCTCATCCTAGCATACCCGTGTTGAGCGGGTCTGGGCCTATCAGAGAACTGATGCATGAATACAGATTTTGTACTATGTCCTGGTCGCGGCATGTGTAACTTTTCGCAAAGCCGAATGGCTGCGAAATACGTGCCTTGCTGCCGTCTTGATTCTGCCGGCCATTTCTGCTCTCCAAGCCCTCGTGCTCGCTTCGGCGCATACGAATGGTCAGTACAACAGCCACCAAGAACGTCAAGAACACCCAAGAAGAGCGAATCTAACAACGAACCATGTAGGCGGCGTTGATATGGATATATATGGAGTAAGCTCTTGGTATCTAACATACGCGTGTGACGTAAACTGATTTCATGTCTTCACTGTGTAGGCTTTCCAGTTCTGCGCGATCGGAATTCTGGCAGCGCCTTTGACTGTGAGGCTGTCGCGAACCTACTTCCAGTCTCCAGGGCGCAACATCATATTTCTCTGGACGATACTGATCTTGATGGGATTGTTGGCCCTCTGCGTGGAATTCTACCGGGTCACCTCAACGGCCTGCAGCAGCGATGATGATGGAAACCCTTTTTACGGCACCGCCAACTTCCCATACGAACATGCTAGATGTAACTTGACGTGCTCCGAAAGCGAGGGTCCGATATCTCCAATGCGGGGAGGATCCGCGTCCGACGTCTATGTTATTCCTGTGCCGCGTATCTTGTCCTTCAACGCCGCCATGCTACTTTCTGCTGGATTCTGCATCCCCGCGATATTATCTCTAATATTTACCTGGGATAAGATTTTGGAGATCAACTGGAAGAGGCGACGGCCTGTTGAGCCTCTCAACGCTCGGATTGAGGGTGCGAATATGACTGTTGGAGAGCTCAAAGGCATCAACAACGTCGTGAGGAAGTTCTTGGGCGTCATCGAAATTCCGTTGTTTGGCGGGGTGATTATCACGATTATTGGGGTTGGCGAAGCGAACTTCTTCAGTCCACAAGTACGATTTATGACTGAGCCCATGGCTTCGATTGGTAAGCAGAGGATCATAGCGATATGCCAGTTTCTAACATGTTCGTTAGGACAATGGTCACCAATAGCTGGAACAATCATGGCCGCCCTTGGTTCTCTTTATATTCTGTGGTCAACCAGCGGCGACGACGTCCCGAAAGGGAAGCCCCCGAACCAATCCGAGAACTCCGATTCATCACGTATCAGTCGCAGTAGTGAGCGACAACCTTCTCAACGGTATCCTTCGCCCGTATATCTTGGCCCTGATAGAGAGACGGGGGATGGTCTGGGTATACGATCAGAATCGCCCAACGTTATCGAGTTGACCCCGACCGTCACGTATCCTGATTCTGAACGTCATACGGGTCCTGCCTCTCAGGCTATTCGGCAAGATACTCACCAACTGGATCAGCCAACAGCTGGCAGAAACCGGATACGAGGTTGGTTGACATCAGCTGGGAATTACCTCGGGGATGCAGCACATGAAAGACTTGATCCAGACCATGAACGAGTTGATGAGGAGACTCAGAGGTTTCCAGAGGTTCCTGGCGAGATTCTGCGAAATCCCGATCTGGAACGCATCAGTCGCACGTACAGTCAGCTTCGCGAAGAAAGGGCAAACAGCGTATACGCGGCAAGCATCATGTCTTCACCAGCGCTTGAAGGTAGTGCATCTCCGGCACCTACGTCTCCGCCACCACACCAAGAACCTCCGCGTCCTGAAACTAGTCCTTCTCGACAGCCGAAACGGCGAGATACACTAGAAGTACCAAAGGGAGGGCATTGAACAAGCGAAAGTCACTGATCGATTACAAGCCAAACCAGGCTTCTGACACTGTCAGATGCGAAGGAACACTATGTCCTACACCCACTGCCCAGATACCCTCGACGCTTGGACCGAAGTCATCAGTGCGATAGTTCCTCTCTGGTGTATCCTTCTTCGAGCTCGTCGGTGTGGTACTAACACCAAATACATTGGTCCATTGCTTCAACGTCTCATCGTAGTTCTTTGGGCTAAGTGTTCCGTCTACAGAGCCATGCCAAAATTCTGGATACGTCAGTACATGGTTCACACGCGTCTTGCTCTCCACAACTTACGCATGCGCGGGCGTGTTCCGTTATATCCTGGATACATTCCCCGAACTACATCGCCCCAGTGTTGCGCAGTCGAGATGGACTGTCCGCCAGAACAAGTGTTGTTCCACGCTGCTGCTGCCCCGGAGGCGGAAACGAAACACCCAGCTGGGACACCAGAGTACAGCGATACTGCGCTGATGAGCTCGGGATAAGTGGCCGCGAGGACATTGCTCATCATGCCACCAGAAGAACCACCAGTGACGAACACTTTCTTAGGGTCGATCTTGTACTTATCGATCGCATACGTAATCATATTCGCAATAGCATTCGAATCGCCGCCACCGTTATGCGACAGCGAGGCCTTGCTGGACACATCCCAACACTCGGTTGTCGAGCTTGGCCAGACTGTTACGTACCCTTTGGTATCTGAGCCTTTCTTCCAAGGAATCAGGGAGTTCTGGAAGTACTTCTGCGCCGATGATTGACACGAGTGGATTGCCACGACCAGCGCGTCACTCTTAACTTGATCGGGTACGTACACCCACCTTTCGTGTGGTGTTAACTAGATACAAGAGATGGATGGGTTTTACGTACATGCCAGGCTTCGCTCGCGCACTACCGCCATAGTTCGAGACTTGAGTCAATTGCGCAGCAAAAACGCCGGACACAAGAGCGAGGCTTGAAGCAAGATATTGGATGCGCATCTTGGGAGAGTTGAAGGCAGTCAGAATGATGAAAGGGTTCCATTCTGGAACTTGATGGTTATATGCCCATTCACACTCGATTCCTCCACATCAACAGGTGGGGTCGATCTTGATTCGTGGAATTTGGACTGTCAATGCCATCATGTATACTCTGAATGATGTTGCGCTACCTGAGGTACAGTACTCGTCAGAGTATGTTGTTAGATAGATCCGGGTAAACAGTAAGGTGTTCGTAATCAAGCTTCAAACCAAGCATTTTCGCAAATTACCCACATTATTATAACCCTGCACCCCACGTCTATCAACTAGCGACTGCCGGCGCGAAGGATAATGTATGAATGTCACTGGTTGTTGCATTGTCAGATTTTGATGAGTTCGCTCTAGGTGCCGAACGGAACTTTACGTCAAGTGCAGCGTCTAGACGAATGTCGCATAACCTGAGAGCAATGGCAATATAAGAGGAAACCAATATGTGCCGATTTATGACTTTGGCTCCGGACAGAAGGGTAGCTTTGTTGATGTTTGGTACGTTATATGCAGCAGGTATTGGCGTTATGTGGGGAAGCCTTCACAACGTTCACACTCATCGTCATATCGTCTCTTGTGAATTAGTAGTCGGATTGAACCTAGGTGTCATTTGACGCAACCCGAGCCAAGTGTTCCTTTCATAACTCGCTCCCCCGTGCTATCTCATAGTGGAGGCATTTGCGATGTGGGACCTCCTCGCCTCTATCGCTGTACTGCTAGCCCATCATGTTTCCGCCCACGGAGGTGCTCTCAACTATACTGTTGGCGAGACATGGTACCCAGGGTAAGATCTTGATGTTACAGTCTTTCTAAACGACGACTGTCGCGACCCAACTAACAACAATTCCAGCTACGACCCCTACGGCGATGAAGCCATGCAAGACGCTGCCTCGTGGATGCCACAACGAAAATGGATATCCAACAACCCCATCTTCGAAACCACCAACTCATCCTTGTCCTGCAACACACCCGGCACTCCCGCCCGCGCTTACATACCCATCCGTGCAGGCGAGAATATAACCGCCGTGTACGCGTACTGGGTGCACACCGTCGGTCCTATGATAGCATGGATGGCATACTGCGACAACGCCGACAACGACTGCACGACCTTCTCCAGCGAAACGGCAGACTGGTTCAAGATCGGGGAGAAGGGGTTATTGGACGGAAGCATTGAGACTGGAGAGTGGTTCCAGAAAGCGTTCAGCATGTGGGACGGGAGCCCAAGTTTGTGGAGTGAGAGGGTGCCTGTAGGGTTGAAAGCGGGGAGGTATTTGGTGAGGCATGAGATTATCAGTCTGCATTCGGCGAATAGTATGTATATGCTTCTTTCCCAGTCTAAGTTGTGTGCAAGGCGCTAACATGTCGTACCTGCTTAGAACCGCAGTTTTACCCTGAATGCGCGCATTTGGAAGTCAGCAATGATGACAAAGGTGTGATTCCTAGCAAGGAATACATGGCTAAGATTCCAGGAGTGTGGAGTATGGATCGTACGTATACGGACGACTGGAAGGAGAGCCTGCAGCTGATCACTAGTAGAACCTGAGATCAATATCGACATCTATAGTCCCGAGATCTCGACGAAGACGGTATACAATATTCCGGGCCCACCCATTTGGTCGGTGGAGACGTAGGTCGCGATATGGAGCGACCGTTGGGCCTAATCATCGCGGGCATGCGTCTCGACATGCAAATACCTGGAATTAGAACTGTGTCAATTCAAAATCTGCACATCAAAATTCATATATCCTCTGTGGCGCAATTGGCTAGCGCGTCTGACTGTTACAGCTTGCAGTAGCAGTCCATCAGGAGGTTGGAAGTTCGAGCCTTCCCGGAGGAGCTGAATTTTTGGCCATGTGTGCGGACCGGGCGGTAAGACTGTGCGGGCTGACGACGGCAATATATTTTTTGAATACTAGAGTTGTGGGTAACGGCATGAAGGAAGCAGCTGCGGAGGATCCACATGAGTGCGCGCTTACATAAAGGGCAAACGTCATCAGCTAGCTAGCGTGCTTGACGCGCTCTTACCTGCCTTTGCTTATCACAACAACGCACGTCAGCACATGCAAAACGCCTCGAAGACAGCGACTTGTGACGTGATAATGCGACAAAGGTTGTTCTTTTTTGCAACGATCTAGCTACACTCTGTAATTCTGCGCGCCCTCATCGCGTGACGGCGCCATCCCGATCATCACATCAGCATTGACAGGCTTAACGCGGCTTCCAATTCATGCAGTTGTCGAGCACATAACGATTCCACTATAGTTTCCATGCTTGTCCACGCGTTACGCGATCATTACAGCCTCCCAGCGATCATACGCATGCGTACCCTCCAGTCTTGTTGCGCAAACCGGCCTTTACACTGATGCCCGCGTTGCTGCCCCTCACACCATCCCTCACTCTAGGACTCATGTCATCTTTCTCATCGGGCTCTGAGGCAGCTTTGGCTCCCTGTGTCTTAGTGCCTTTCCGATGAAGTCGGGTCGCGGGTATCTTGATGGGTGCTTGCTGGTCTGCGACTTCACCCGTATCTGTAGTAGCAGACAGTAACTCGGAGTCTTTAGTCAGAAGAAGAGTTGCGATAGGACGCGTTCTCAGTGTCGCTTTCGCAGATGGCGATACATCAGATACGTGTGTTGTAGGCCTGTGGTCATCCTTAACAGCGTATGTTAGTCTAACTGATGGTCTAGCAGATGGCGCTCAATGCACGGTACATGAGCCATATGATCCAGCTGCAATACCTACAAGTTCTCCATCCTCTGCCAGGGATATCTCGTCATCTCTCAATAGTAACTCCTTAGTCTCCCGTCGGCCAGCAGCACGCTCTCGTTCGCGACGTCTCTGGAACGCAGCTTGGTCCTGGAGTTTCCGCTGGCGTCGCTTTTGATGGCTGGTCATGCCCTCCCACTCTCTCGACAGTTCTTGCCGCTCCGCATTATCTGCCAATGCTGCATCGTATTCGGTCTTGAATATCTCAAAGATGAGCTTCCATTTGACTTCGGTGGTGGGGTAGCCGTTGCGCGCGTCCCTAATGTCGATATTGAAGCCCTTCAGATACGGATGCTTGGCGCATCCTTTCGGAGAAATGCACTGGAAGCGCTGGCCACATACTACGACTTGGCCGTATGTGTCTGACTTTCTGTCTTTGTCAACGATGGGAGCAAGATACCAGCAAAAGTGCAGCGCGCTGACACATCTCATGCTTGGACTGCCGCCACACTCCTTGTCCTCGCAGTGATGCTATGTTTGAAGCTCAGTACTTTCTTCGTATGAGCTCCGCCAATTGCGGTCACTTACAGCGCTGTTCATTTTCTCCTTGGTGCGAATGTTTCTCATCATAGCGATGTTGCTCTCGTTTTTGACATAGCTGCCGTATATTTCATCCAGATCCAGGGCGCTCTGCCGCGCGTAATTAGGCATTTCTGTGGCGATCGCATTCGGTATTCACTACGTGGTAGTAGCTGATATGTACTGCAGCTGGATGAATAGAGTCGGGGAAATCCTGTCAGTAAGTAAGATTCTGGCCTCCGGCGGTAGAACGCGGGACATCTAATGGTCATTGCAAGAGTTGCAGGTCTCCGCAACAACAGGCACTGTTTATCTGCTCATTGTTGTTGTTGCCTATAGGTTTACCTAGCTTGGCTCGTATACTTACTCTGACTATCGCGGACGTCATCCGACTATCGGAGATTTGCTCCTACGTATCAGGCTTGTCTTGAACCATATCTTGCATAGATGCCCTTGAATACCCATATATGGGGGTCAAGCTTGCTGATAATATAGAATGAGCTTACTACTAGCCTGATCGAACTCTACGTGGACGCTGATAGCAACCAAGACAGCTCCAAGTTCGTCGTCCTCGGTCTCGATCAGTCATTTCACGCGACTCGATTAGCACTTGGCTAGGATTATAGTGCGCAAACAATACTGCTCAGATAGTTCTCGAGACGTCGGCCGCGGTACACTATCTGAGGCATCGTCACCGAGTCTTCGGTCTTACGCGATGTCGCACAACTGTTCCGCAAACTGGGCTCAAATAAACTTGCTCATGGCAGTCAGATTCAAAATACACACATGGCAATCAACTATCAAAGAAGGTTGACGGGCAGATTAAGCGCCGATTTACACCATACTTGAAGTTTTCTTCTATAAAGCCCTCCTTCTATATGATCACGGCGTTGCGATAGTTGCAATTGAGAATGTAGGAATAAAAGACGTTTTCTTCAGCAGATATGATGCATTACCAGGAAAAGGCGTCGTATCTTTGTTGGGTGAAAATGGCGAGCGGAAACAGCTGCTTCGGTAGCGCATAGCCCCCTCGCTTCCGCTGCCCACCAATCCCACGCATTCAGCAAAAGACGCGATACTCTCACGTCTTCACCTCAAGAGCAACGCGCATCGAGCAAAAAAAGCCGTAGCCGTTCTCTGCCTCAAGAACCGAACCAGTGATCATGCACCTCTCAAAGAGGTGCAAAAAAAGAACTGATCTCCCCACCATGAGTCGAACAAGGGACCTTCTGATAACAGCAGATATTACAGTCAGACGCTCTAAACCAACTGAGCTACGGGGAGAATGTTTCGTATCGAAACCGTGCTTGGTTTGATTGATGAGTCAGCGAAGAAATAAAAATTAAATAATGTCTAATGAGGTTTTGACGATGAGGGAAGAAGGACGTTCTCCAGTTATAGCATCGTGCGATGACTCGTGGGGTGGGTCGTTATCGCGCTGATTCTTAAGCCGACGGCTTTTAGCCAATACTTCAAAAACACATAAAACCTAGCTCCAACACGACGTGACTGCCGTGACTGGCCTTCACTATACGTCGGACCTTCGTCATCTCATATATCCTACCACTGATTCTAAGTTACAAATAAGATTTTCGTATATGTTTTAGCGACACCAGAAGAACGACCTTGATTGGCGCCTGGAACCTCAAAGGAAATTTGAACCACAGCATTTGGCTGAAAACTCATTGCCTGAGAGGTCTGAAGTGGGATGATGTATCCATTATCTGGGGTATCTCCTCTGGACTGGCACGACAAACAAACCTACGTTACAGTCGCAGTTCTCCAGAGCTTTCTCTCCATCTCTTACGTCATGTGCTTATATGTAAAGAAGAGCGCTACGCAATGGTTGTAGCAGGTCCCGAGCTTGAGTAGGCTTCTGATTGTACGTTTGACCAGTCGTTTCCTACCCCTTTGGTAAACTCCGACAGGTGTTCTAGGGTCTCGGCGTCGTCCGTGATGTCACGACTTCTCCTTATGCTATAGACAAAATCAACTAATTTTTCCATGATCTCCAGGTCCGTCTCCAATGTGTACTGACTAAATCTATCTCTAACCACACAACACTTCGTGTTCGTAGTTTGCAGAATCGCTCTAAACTCCAGTGATAGCTCGGATATGATTATGGGAAGGCTACTTTCACTATTGCGCATAAGCAGTGGTAGGTTTATCAGTTTCTTGGGGGGTTCGAGTTCGAGTCCATGTTCTCGTACCCAAGACGGTTTCCATTCGAAGCCAATGATCCGATGGGACATGCAGGCGGTGCTGCACTGCGAGTCGCAAGCTTCAAAAAGGATGGACACTGCTGTGTCAGGACCTGTACTGGAGTAAACCTGTAATGACACAACAGCTTGCTCGAGTACCGTGGGTCGATCTCGTGTATGCACAGCGAGAATGATTCCGGTAACGCCTGGTTTGGAGGAGGACCCATCTACTGGCAGAGCAAGAGCCATGCGCAGGGATAATCCGTCAAGATTCGTATATCGACTATCATCAAGATCGCGAAGCGATAAATGCGCCTGATGCCGTAGTTGCACGTTAAGAACGTCGTGCATATGCGTATCTTTGTCTTCTTGGTTCCTGAGTATTTCGACCCAATAATGGTATGCAAATTGGAGCGGGTATTCAATAATATCGCGCGCCAGGATGCACTGGAGAAGCTGCCATACGGTCAAGCTGTAATCAATCATACCAATGAGCTCCGTGTCTTTTGTCCGTTCCCCAACAAGGCCTAGTAAAGCAAATACGGCGTCCTGTGGAAGGGAGCATAGCATGTCGGCAAAAAGTGTGAACATCTGCTCAAACTCTCGAGAAAGGTGTCCTCGCCGGAAGGAAACCAAAAACGACGCATTGGAGAGATTTATTCCATCTGGGGGGTTTTCAGTCCAATGGCGCATAATGATTTCAAATCTGCGGGCAGAAAGCCTGCGACTTCCCATTAACAGAGTCAGATCTTTAGCAAGCAAGAATTCCTGCACAATCCAGATCCTCGACCAGTATTCCGCTTGTATCAAGTATCCCGCTTGCTTTTCGTGTCGCAAACACCGACGCTCATCTCTGCGACGCCAATAGAGGAGATCTTTTACACGATGCGAACTGAATATGCTGGTATAAGGCATCGCATTCTTGAGGTTGAGCCAGCAGTAAACGCATTTCGCATTAGAGTATATCCGCTTCATTTCTTGCACCTGATGACCTCGTTCGTGGATGTCGTCTTGGTTGATGCAGATGGCATCTATCCATATAACTTGCGATCGGTGGCGGCTGCGAAAGGCTCGCAGAAAGCGAAAAAGGTTACTGCGCACTTGGAAGGATTTGCCATTTATGACTATCGGTTTTGAAGGCTCTGGAGGTCCCCAAACATACGACCCAGCGATGTATTTGTCTTCTTCGCGCGAGATGGAAGCGGTATACAATTCGCATCGGATCCGTGAAATTGAAATTGGGCTAGGCAGCACGCGCAGAAGTCGAAAACTGTCACCATCGTGTGGAAGAGGCGAATACTGTGTGGAGGCGACGTTGGGAGTTTCTGCTGAGTTGGGCGATCCATCGGCGACTAAGGCGTTCATCGACATGACGGATATGGCATATTCGTGACATGAGAGAGAGATGCAAGAAAAAGATGAGGAAGGCTGAATGTCAGAAAAGGTGCGGCTGAGCGAATTTCATATTGGCAACCGCTCTGGGGGCTGCTGCGCCTCGCCAACCATGAGACCACCATGTCATGCTGCTGCATGTAAGACTAGCGCGAGGCTGAACAACACTATGAGTTGACCTGGTGTATCGTAGATGAAATTACTTGCTTCAGTCAGACACTTTCAGCATTGATGTTTGCGACGTGAAGTTGGTGTCGGAGGTGGGCGTGGGGCGTCGTTCAGGCCACCAGCTTACATGTCCCAGCCAACGTCAGCAATCTTAACAACTGAGCTACATCGTAGGTCAGGAACTGCTTAAATCTGTTCGAACTTCTCTCTAATCCAGAGCGTCTTGCAAAGCGCGTATTAACCCTCAGTTCAAGAAACTCAGGAACAGCTCAAGATGTCTTCTCCAGCAACCCCAGTAGTCCTCATCATACCTGGCGGCTGGCACAAACCCCAATCCTACATAAAACTGCACGACGCACTTGGTTCCGCAGGTTTCAGAGTTTCCATACCAGAGCTGCCCTCCACCAATGGCTCTCGCCCACCGAATGCAGATCTATCTGCCGATACCGCGCACGTACGTGCCACTGTAGAAGAACTTATCAAGCAAGGCGATGAAGTAATCGCCTTGATGCACTCCTACGGCGGGCAAATCGGCACCAATGCCCTGTCCAGCTTTTCCATCGCAAGCAGACAAAGAGCAGGGCTAAAAGGTGGCGTAAAAGACCTCATATACATGAGCGCATGCGCTGTATCTGAAGGAAAGAGCATGATGGACATGGTCCGGCACTTCGGCCACGAATCACTTATACCACTAGCCTTCGATTTCGCAGATGACATGACGTGCGTGAGCCGCGATCCCAAGTCTTTGCTTGTTGGCGCGGATTGCGGGCTACCGGCTGGCGAGATCGACAAGTATGTTGACACCCTGGTACGCTGGAATGGCCAGTGTATGTATGATGTGCTCACGACTGACCGTTGTGCGTGGCGCGATATTCCGGTTACGTATATTCATTCGGCGAAGGATATGACCACTCCGTACGATTACCAGAAGTGGCTTGTGGAGGGTATGAGGAAAGAGGGTGTGAGGATGCAGACTGCGACATTGGAGACGGGTCACTGTCCGAATTTTACGGCGACGCAGGGTGTGGTGGATGTTCTGCGGAAGGTGGCTGCTGGTGAGCAACTGGAAGACAAAAAAGAGGTGGAAGAGATCGCAAGTACAGAGCGTGTGCAAGATGCTATTGCAGGCATCGGAGCTGAGAAACCTTAGTGTCTATGAGGGATACTAAGCCAGGTCATCCTCCGAATCCAATCAAGTCGCCATCCTCCCATTGTGACAGCTCTTCCGCCTTCTTTTCCCACTGATTTATGAACCATATTGGCCAAGTTCTCGCGCACTTGCCATACCTCTGTCGGAGGTTCTTCGAGACTGTGTGAGCCGAATGCAGGTACGTCGCTCTGAAAACGTCCCAGAGCTGCCTACATCCCTCGCTTGTGACAGTCGGATAGGGGAAGTATGGATCGTTGCAAGTCACCGCTGTGATCAATTGCTGAATCGCGTCTTCGGGTCGTTCGAACGAACGTAGGGAGGCTTTGCCAAAGTCGAGGACGTAGAGGCGCGTGCGTGATGCCTTATGGAATGGTCCTTCTCGTCTTGAGCTCAACTTGGAGACTGGTGCGCCTGGAAATGGGATTTCTTTGACAGATGGGTGCTTCTGAGACATGGTGATAGTTGTGCCTAGAGGTATTCGAGGTTTATACTACCGTTAGAGTGCTTGTAAAGTTTAGTGCATACTTCAACAGATGCGATACATGCGCCGGAGGTTATCCTGGCTCATTTGGCTCATATGATGGTGAGCCATGGTTGTTATGCTGTGGTTCTCTAATCCAGGCATGCCTATTGGGAGCAATGGAAGAACGCGTAAACGTCATTCTTCGTCTCTCCTCGAATCCTTCGTACTGGTGTGAGGGACTGCGGAAAACTGTTGATCTACGATGGTTTGAATGTGCGCATATCGAGTTAGTCTGAACAGACCGGCCGACGGGAACCCTGTCTATGTGGTGGTCGTGTTAACGTTCGTGTCCGCAAAACACAACAGGCTCGCACATGGATCGTGCAGCTACCTCATCACAACGGAGCTAGGCTCGAAGCGGACAACATGTGATTGCGCGACATCGCGTACGCGCGCTTGAGCCAGCAGTTGATACCATCGAAGGCATGCTGCATAATGCAAAAAAAAAACTATGACATATGCTGGGAGACGGTGTGTCATCTGATGAATTTGATTACAGCGACTCTTTCGATCATACGTCACAACGATGATCCGTAACAGGACCAACAAGGACGATGAGCACGGTGCTACTACAGAGTCTACATGCAGTACTCCATTCATGTAAAACATCTCTCTGCTTTGATTCGAGTCTTGTTTTGTACATAGTCTGGCTAATACCAGCTTGCCATTTTCCTAGCGCATGGCAGAACTTTGAGGCTCGCACATCTTTTTATACACATCTTCACGGTATCCTGTACATGTTTCTTCGTCATGATCAACCTCCTCATATAACCTTGTTTAATCCTCAACAAAGAACCTCGCTGCAAAGACGACGTCACTCTCTGTAAACACTCCGAACCTCTCGCTCTTGACCTGCCTTAGGATACCTTGTTTGTTCTTCTTGTCCTTGCTCTCCGCATACGCGATTACGCAGTCCCTGTTCAGCGGTGGGTTGTCGTTGGTCTTCAGGCGGTCGGGGCTGCGCGGCTCCTTGGGCAAGGTACGGTGAGTAATTTTGCGCTTCTTCGAGGCTGAAGACTGGGATGAGAAGGGATTGTGAAGTGAAAGTTGGGGTGTTGCAGAAGTTGAAGCGAGCTTCATTGGGGATGGAACGTGATTGCCGCGTCGACGTTTAGGTGTGGTTTTGCGCTCGGGTGAGCCATCTGCCTGTGGTATGGGAGCAGGAGATGACTCAACGGGTGCTTGAGGCAAACTTGTGTGTGTAGTAGGTTCCATCTCGGGCTCAGGGGTCGTATGGAGGCTCGAGAGAGGGGATGATGTATCGGTATCCCATGCTTTGGGAGTTTGAACAGTCGGCACTACGGTGTTAGGCAGCACTGCCACATCAGATGCATTTCCATGCTTTTTAGAAGGTCGACATTGTCGCAGTCGCGCAGATGCCTCACGCAAAATTTCTTCTGGATCCTCAAACCAGATTGGATTTGCCTTCGGGCCTTGTACACCGAGTATGCCGTTACTAGAGGTTGTGCGACGAGAAGATCTTTCCTTTGTGACACGCAGATTTTGATTGCTCATATCGGTACCAGGCTGATCACTATCGGACCTGGCCTTCGCAACCTTCTCCGGCTCGTGCTTCAGCTTGGATTTCTTAGCATTAACAGCGTGCTGACCAGTCAAGGCGTTTGCTTGGAAAGCACTGATTGGCTGATGCTTGTCCACAGCCACAGATATGTCTGGATTTTCGTGCTCTGAAGATGATGCGGGTGCTGGTGTTCCTTTCCGGACAGAACTCTTCCGTGTTCTGGAAGTGCCTGTGAACGTCCTTCCCTGCTCAACGGGATTTGCGTGTTCCTTGTCGCCATGGGTCACTGTCTCTTGAGTTCCAAGTTTAGCTGGGCTATTGAGAGACACGCCAATATGCTGTGCAGGGTCCCATCGGTGGTCCACCAATATCGAATACTTTTGTCCATGAATTACCAAGCGTTTGACCTCGACGCTGAACTTCGCCTTCTTTGTCTTTTGTGAGGAAGAAGCTTTCTGTGGAGAGAGACTTCGCTTTGGCTTTGTAGGTACCGAGTATAGAGCTGCTGGCGGTAATGGCAGCGATAGTCGGCGGTCGAACGGCAGAAAGGGCACTTGCGGCGGCGTAGACTTCTGAAGCCCAGCAAAAGCTGTAGCCTGTGGCAACATGTTCGGCTTGTAGACCTCAGATCTCCCAGCGAAAGAATGGCCGGTTCCAGACATATTGTAGTTTGGGAGTGAGAAATGGATATTAGGAAAGTTACTGCATGGTTGATTAGACGAGGAGTATGCATACAGACCGGACATTGAGGAGTTATGTTCAAGTCCTGGTATCAATGGAGGGAAAGATGACACAGCCGAATGACCTGGGCCCTGGAGGTTCATTGGAAAGCGACTCAGCGGACTGGAAGATTGGCCGTCGTTGTCGAACGGGATCTGACGCATGAGATCACTAGGCGTAATTCCTGCTAGAGTTGGATCTGAGAATTGAACGACATATGGTGAGAGACGCATTTGGGGCGTCTGTAAGTATGGAGTAATATCTGGATACATCATCTTCGGACTAAGGCCTGCTTGCGACGTGATGTCCACTTGTTGCTTGTATGCTCTTTCTTGCTCATGAGCCTGTGCATGTACTCGTGCAAGACCTGATGACGACGGCCAATCTGGGCCTGTTATTTCTGGTGCTTGGAGCACCGTAGTCTTTGGTTCAATATGGAGAGGTGGTGGGATAAACGGTATCAAAGGACCCATGGCCGGGTGCTGTAGAGCCGATGATGGAACATGTGGTATGTCCTGTGTCAAGCGTACTCTTGACTGAAGAGCCTGTCTCTTGCTGTAAGAATCATAGTCCGGATCGCTATCTCCTTCTGCATCCACATCGATGACCTCTGAGCTCGGCTGGGTGGAATTTTGGGGTTCCGCATCACTCTCGCTCTTACCAGGCGTATCTGTACGTAGTCGCATGGTAGTGCTGTCAGCATCGGGCACGAATGGGTAGCTCTCATCAACCATGCGCTTCGGTGCTTTCAGATAGCCTACACCGCTAGTGAGCTTTCTACCTTCGCCAGCAGTGATGATCACATCGATGATGCCAAAAGTCTTTCCACCCGGCTTCTGCATATTGCGCACTTGGTCCGGCATTTGCATTGTCGCAAGCGCACAAAGGAAGTCAGCAGTGGGAGGCCTGTTGCCCTCTTCGTCTTGGCCTCGCTCTCGCGCTTCGATTTGGAGCGCTTGACAAAGGTGTAGCCATCGCTGCTCAACTGAAACCACTGCGGTGTTCTTCCTAGTATTGCCGTCTGCTGCCACTTCAGGCGACAGGATCACCCAAGGTCGCTCAGCAAGGAAGTCGATCCTGGTTCCCCCGAAGACCTGATGGTTACTTTTCGCTCCGGACCTGACATCGTGGGTGGGTATAAATAGACAGGCGGAGAGCGTCCCGTTGAAGAAGACCTCGATCTTGAGGGATGTTCTCTGATTGTAGAGGCCAGAGACGTAGGTCTTGTCGGAGAGATTAACGTGGAGGGCAAGTGCTTTCGGTTCGCTGAGTGAGGCGGCATCTGTGAAACTGCGGTCGATCGCAGTAATGTTATCGGGGATGTGGACAAGGTGCGTACCTGTCGTCGCTTCCGTCTTGTCATATACATCGTTCTTGACCCGAGTCTGCATGAAAGGTGCGTTTGCGACCCAATTGAGCTGAAAAGCGTATTCATCATCGGGGAAAGGCACGACTTCCTCTTTCAGCAACTTCCTCTCTAGGAGCCTCCTTTCAGCCAATTCAGACTGCTGCTTGGCTGCGTCGCCCTTCCTTAGTATGATTTTCTGTGTAGTCGAGTCTTCGAGCGGCGTCGCGCTCAGTCTCACCGACAGGCCACGCGCGAAATAGGTAGGCATATTTAGAGCAGGTGAAGGAATGTACAAGTATTATAACATGGCTGTCGCGAGAAGCAAAGCCGCGATGCCTGGCGACTGGGTGATTTCTAGGCGATTGAGTGCGCTGATGCCGTCTAGAGTGCGTCGAATATGGCGGGGTTCGGGGTAGTCGTTGTGGTGACCGAGCGCTGTTGTTGTCGCGTGACTTATATCATGGGTTTCCATTTTGGGTAGGCGCCCTCCAGTGCTCTTTCCACGCGTCCTCACCGCAGCCAAGATTCCCGTGCTCCGGTGTCCCATTCAGCCGCGGCCTCAGATGTTCTACAAAAGAGCATCTCGCTCTCCATCGCCACTGGAGATCAGGCGAGAAAAGGAGAGAGTCCACGATCTTCGGGTAGGCCGACTCAACGACGAGAAACATAATGAGAACACCGGGAGCAGACTTCATGATGATGTATAACAGCAGAAAGGGATACCTACGAAATGAAATCGCATTGAATAGTGCAATCTCCTTGCAATGCATTTGTAGGAGCTCACAGCTCTATCTCACCCCCAGACTCGACGAAGCCACCACCACTTCCTTGCTGTTCAGTGCCATTGACGCCCCAATCATCAGTGATGATACCAATCGGTGGGCCGCCTAGGACATCACCTAGCTCGCCTATTGTCTTCTCATACACGCTCGCAACACCACGCTCTTCCCATTCGTCGTCTTCCTCATCGTCGTCATTATCTTCAAAACCTTCAAATGTCACGGTGTCTTGACGTCCACCTGTCTCTCCCTCTCCTTCGGTATCAGTATCTATGGCCTCACCAACGTCATCCTCGTCGCCGACTACACTGTCCCCGCTCATGACTCGTGTGACGGTGAGCCGAGTCCGATCTACAACACCCTTCAAGCGAACTTTGTCTGTTGTAGTGATTGTGCGGCCATTCTCAAAGCCAGGCAGATATTCGCCAGACGCAGTGTCGTGGCCAGTGAGTAGGGAGGAGAAGGCGTAGTCGAGCTTCGAAAGTAGGCGGAAGGTAGCCTGGGCAGAACGCGTTGAGGACCCGAAGAGAGGGAGGAAGTCGGCGGTGAGGACGGCGAAGTTCAGTAGGTAGGGAATTTGGAGATTGGCTACATATCTTAATGTTAGCGAAGCTTGTTTCCAGGACGAGAGCGGGTAGCATACGTGACCCAGATACCCAGACAACATCTACTAGGCCGTCGAGATCTTTCGCGACCTCCCAAAACGCTTTGTATCCCTCCTCCTCGCCCGGTACAGGCTTGAGTTTGCGGTTCGTCATGCGATTGTCTACTCGCTTCTGGATTCTGTTGACGCCATGGTCGAGGTATCGTATCAAGTCAGATTCTCTTGGCCCGCCAGGCTTCAGTGGGTGTTTGCGTGGTTGTGGAAGAGGTGACGCGTGCTGAGAAGGCGCCACGGATGACGCTGGCGGGGTAGGAATCTCAGGCATGCTGACTGTATGCTTTCGCGTACGATTACTGTGTGATATGAAGGGAAGTCTTGCGCACTGTGTACTGCTAAGGTGGCAGATACAGATGTAAGGTGGTGAGTAAGCTGTGGGGTACAGTCGTCATTCTACGCTGAAAGATGAGCGTGCTCCCGTTTATCGCGTGCGTGCGAGGATGGATACGACTGATGTCCTTTCAGATGGAGGCCTGCACACGTAGATGTTGCGCGTAACCTAGACGTGGAGTTCCTGATGATGAAATGACGTTCACAGGTGGTAGCTGCGTTGCTGCCATAGCTCCCACCCTGTTCACATCACCCCGCAACACTAACATCAGAGCGTCTTCCAGCTTTCGCCAGATCTCCAGATTCGCAGGCACTTCCATTGTAAAGAGGTCGTCAGCAAACTTGGTCATTCTGGCTATTCCTCGCGCTCACATGCCTGCACATCTTTTCGCCAATCTGTTATTAGTGTCTTCTCACAAATCAAGTTTTGCCGGAATACTTCCAGCACGCTAGGCAGCGCCTTCAACAAAGAGTCGCAATGCGTCTTTTAAGGAAAACGATCATTTTTCCGTAAGAATCGCAACACGACGGGAAAGTTGCACATTTCGGAGTTGCGTTGCTTCGGAGTTCAGCTGCTATTCCGTGCTACCAATATGGCAAAGTAAGACGCCTACGACATCGGCCCGCAGAACTGCTGCCCCTGAGTGGACAGTGGGACGTGATTGCGCTGATTAATTCCCAGCGCCCTTCTTGAGCGCTGCGCGTGCGCCCTACATGCCAATGTCGACATGCATACCCGATTAAGCCACCAACCTAGCAATCTCACATGCTCACACGCGGACAATCTGAATCATTTGCAAAGTCGCCCCTTTTCTAGAAGTCTTTTCTAGCTGCAAGAGAGGAAAATTTGTTAACAAAAGCAACATCGGAGTGCTCCGATGGTTGGACGAGGTTGAAACGCGACATTTATTGACTCTACCATTTAACGGCATAACGTTGAAAATTTGCAAAGAGACCAATGACACAACGTATCCACTTGTCGTGTACCTTCAACGCGAGCAGTCAGGAACGTGTCGCGCTTGGTCTACTTTTATGGTATGAGATCGTGTAGGGCTGCTTTGAGGCTCCAACTGACCGCTAGAGTACCGCCATGGCTGATCGGTGCGCTCCAAGCTAATGCGATCATGACGGAAAAGATCCCAGAACCTGGCTAAAGCGCCTTCGAGACCGTTGACATGGTGGAGACTTTCTGGTGTCGTCGTGTACTCAGCTTCGAGAGGTGTAGATGCCCGCACCTACAAGGGCCTAGCGCACAACGCTATCGGCGTATAGGGCGTGGTTTGTGGTGGAGGATGGGTGACTCCCCCGGTTGGCGAATCCGACGGCAAACCTGCAAGCGCATCTCTCAGTGCATCCTCCATGTGCAGCCTGCAACCCTTCTCATCACTTATCCAGCCCTGGTACTGTGCCGCTTGTAGATGACTCAAGACAGGGCGTGCCTGATTGTTTTGTATAAGAGAACCCGAGGCCCACTCATTCACAGCCCTGGAATACAGACATCTTATCTTCACTCGCCACCAAGACTAGTCTTATCGCTTCCTATTCGCACTACCCCAGCTCTCCGCATTCGGGACGTCTTATCTGAGGATCACAACCCCGCTTTTCGTGTGACTATTCCCTTGGCTGTTGCTTTCAGCTCGCTGGTCTTGAGACACGCGACATCTTCAACATGCCTTCTTCATCGAGCGCGTCGTCGTTTGCGCCGCCAGACAGGATGCAATCACTTGGGAGCCAGATTGGTTACAAGGTTCGCAACATCTCGCATTATGGCGAACCAACAATTGCGATCGACCTCAACGAGACTGGTGGCCACAGTCATAAGTTCATCACAAGCTATTCTTCGATGGATACTATCGAAGGCACAGTCACTATAACCGCACCGCACGACATTCGCTTTGAGGATATCGATATTGCATTCACCGGTAAGAGACGACTAGTGTTTTGGGATTGATGGTCATGACCTAACGCAGCACAGGTACAAGCCAGGTATACGTCGACAGGATGACAACCTCCCCCACCATGACTGGGCGGACAGAGGCAAAGCACCGGTTTTTGACTCTTAGACAACCAATAGACGAATCAAACTTCCCCACTCCAAGAGTATTTGAAGCTCACAGAGCTTACAAGTTCCCATTCACATTCACCATCCCATCGCAACTACTTCCAAAGGCCTGTTCACATAGTGTAGCCTCAGACCACATCCGCGACATGCACCTTACGCTTCCACCGAGCATTGGAGATCCTGATCTTGCTGGCTTTGGCAGTATATTACTCGATGATCTTGCACCGGAGATGTCAAAGATCACTTATGGAATTCGAGTCAAGATCGCGCAGAACCGGGGATCAGAAGGCATGTCGCTGCTTTGTGAAAAGCTGAAGAAAGTTCGCGTCAAGCCAGCTTTTCCAGAGCAGCCTCCACTGAACATTGATCACAACGATGAGTACCGGTCGCGACAGGAGAAGACAGTCAAGAAGGGTTTGTTCAAAGGAAAACTCGGAACTTTATCCGCGAAGACCGTACAACCGCCACCCCTTGTCATACCAGGCGCACGCACAGAAGGAAGATTAATCACGACCATGGCCAAGTTGATTCTTCGATTTGATCCCACCGAAGAGACCAGCACACCACCGAAGCTTGGCTCGTTGTCGACGAAGATGAAGGTCTTGACCTACTATGCATCACTTCCCCGACAGAATCTCCCAACACGATCAACCCTTGGCTTCGACCTATCGCAAGGACTATACTCCGAATACGTACCCCTATCAAATCTCTGCATTGCTTCCGCCCAATGGGAAAAGCATGACTCGGCACAAAACCCCAGTCCAGAAAGCCTAGTCCGACGCGATTCCGGCATCAGCGACTGCTCGACTATGAGCGAAGCAGAGGAAGCCTTCGCCATGGGCATTCTACCCGCATCCAAAGACTACAAGCAAGGGCTGTTCTACACTGCTCAAATACTCGTCCCGATCACCCTCCCCACAACACAAAACTTCATACCGACATTCCACTCCTGCCTCATCTCACGGACATACACACTTGCACTGCAGTTTTCGGCCCATGGCAGTTCAAGCATACATCTTAAGGTTCCTGTGCAGATTTGCGCCGAAGGCAGTGACACTGGTATCGAGAATGCCAGGGCCAGGAGCGTGGAAGAGACTGCTTTCAGGGCTGCAGCTGACGTCTTTGCGCCGCGTAGTGTTGCGCCTCCGAGTTTCGAGACAGCGAGGAGCGCGAGTGTTGGGGCGAGAGACGATATGCCGCCTGGATATTCGGCGTTTGCGCCGTCGACTACGAGGTATAGTGTGAGTCACTCTGTTATCGCTTGAATATGTTGTTACGGCAAGAACGGTCATGACGATGGGAAGAGCTTCATTGCGCAACAAATTGGCGACGAATGAGACATGTCCTTGATACAGATTGATTTTGATTTCGGGCGTTTGACACAAGCGGTACCAGGAGTTTTCGTCACAACCGCAGCTTACTCTCGATTCGAGTAGCTTCTTTTCATTACTAGATCATCAAATAGATACCCAGTATACCCAACAATAAATATAATGCATTGAAATCTAATTGTTCGTTCTTGCCTCCGCGATTACCCAGGTCATAGATCGTGTGATGATGGCTTGGCGTGTCCGTGCTCCTCCCGCAGCTTCCCAATCACCCGACTCAGTCATCAGCACAACATCACCCAATCATCGTTCTTCATCAAGACAATCAAACCCGACAATGGCTGAGCATCCTTCTTTCACATTGGCAGGCTTGTGTAAGTGCTGCAGGGGGTCTGCGTATCCACAAGCTGACTGAAAGATGCAGTGGCTGTCGGAGGAACCGCGGGTTTTCTCCGAACACGCTCAACACCCAGTCTTGTCGCTGGGCTCGGATTAGGTGCTTCGTATGCTTTTGCAGGTCAGTACTCCAGCACATGTGCTTGTAATATCAGCTGACTTGCGATCCAAGGTTACCGCATCAAGCAGAATCAGGACTACGGTACTGAACTCGCGCTTGGCAACAGTATCATGCTGCTAGGTTCGGCTATTCCACGCATCATGAAGACGGGCGGACGCGCACCTGTACCGATCGCATTGGGTGCGACCGGTGCGTTGGCGACTTATTACTACCAGAAGAAGGTCCGCGAGTTTAGGTATGGCGTATGAGGAGGATCAAGGCTCCACCAAGCGAGGACTTGCATGAGGACGACGACCATGTACGATTACGCGGGACACCTTTCCTATCCTGCTTCACTTCTAAGTATCAACACTCCACTCCCGTCTTTTTCCACTGAGTACATCCTCTTCTGTGCCTTCTTCTCATCTTCAATGCTTTCCAACTGCGGAGTTTGCTGCGCAATCATCATCATACCGTCAAGCTCCACCCACGGACCCGGCGCCATCCAGTACCGCAACGTTTGATACATGCCAAAGCAGAAAGTCAGCAGCACAATCACGAGAACGGCGACCGCTGCCCACTCCCATTTCAGACGCGGACTAGATCCATACAGCTGCCACTGAATAGGGTAAGATGAGATTTTCTCCTCGGGTCGAGCAGGCAGAGACGACGGGAGAGGAGACCAGTACTTATTACTCGTGCTGAGAATATTCTGCAACAGTACACCAACGATAATAGACAGGCCCATGGCGTCGGAATTGACTACCGGATCAGCGGTCTGCATATTGCGGCTCATGAGCAGAAATTGGGGTAGCAGTCCTGTCGAAGGGACCAAAGGCCCAAGTCTCGGAAGGATGTCGTGCGCCTGACCCCCCACACCACGGGCAACATCCAAATCGCTTGTAGTTGCTGGTTCGTACACGATGTTTTGATGCCATTGAGTACCATACCCGTTGAAGCTGAGATCAGGGCTTTCACTATCAACAATCCACACACTGACCGCGTACTTTCCATGTCGAAAGGTGCTGGAACACACGGCGCCAGTAAAGCCTAAGGAAGAGACTGGTCCAAGGTCGATTGAGATTACTGCTCCAGACGCGTCATTCTCAGCTGGCGGCTGAACGTCGATCGAACCCTCCGAACTTGAGGAGACCATTGGGGTGCAGACTGTATTGAGCACTGGCAGCACTAGCGTCAAGTTACCGGTCCAGCCAATAGATGAAGATGTCGGTTGATGTCTCGTCTTCTTGAGCCAGTCGTAGATATTCGTTATCTGCCCATCGTCCGCTGATACCGTCTCGACTACTCCATTGGAACGACCGAAATCGGTATTGAGCGCAGTCCAGCGCTTCCATGAATCTCCGTCCAAACGGTAATCGTAAACATGTCGCCAACCTTTCTGACTTTCTCTAACCGTTGACACCATATGCGTTAAGCCGACAAAAGTAAGAGAAGCAGACATACCAAGCGCCCAGTCCCATAGAGGGTAGCCTTCCCCTCCGATGTTTGACTGACCGACACCGACCATATTTCCCCAGTCCACGCCTTGCAATAGGACTTTGGGGTACTCGATATGCATAATTTTTCGATCGCCTGGCGTCGTTCCCCATTTCGCTTGCAAGTTAGGGTACCATCGCTTCTTCGGTATCGCAACAGTGTTGATAGCGAGACCTTGCAGCATGACCGAGACAGATACGCAAAGACAAAGAAACAAACGAAATACGCTTCTCCAGCTCCATCTCCAACTCGACCTCCGGCCCCTTGTGATGAAGCTGGCAACAGTCATCCAAGGCTTCGTCAACTCATCCTTCAATCCAAAGTCATTGTACGTCGCACCGTGTCTATCGCCTACAACAGCAGGAGCTCGCGCCATCCAGACTGTGAGAAGAAAAGACGCCATGTACTCCAGAGAGCTCACCAGGATCACGTCCAGACTTTTATTGAAGAAGCCGAGGAAGGCTAGCTTGAGATCCGCGTCCACTTCTTCACCGAACACACGACTGAGGCCTATGGAGATGTATGTGCGCGTTGCTCCAAGTGTGGTTCCGGCAGTAATGATGCCAGTGGCGACGATGCGGATGGTTATCATCCAGTAGTCGAAAAGCTTGAGTTGCGGTCGCGTTACGCTCGCAGGACGCCGTCTGGCTTCGAGGAATGCCGCATTGGCTTTAAGATATGTCGCGTTGGCAGCCGCGGCAACTTCCTTTCTACGTAAAGTCAGTATTGTTTACTCACAGCTACCAGATCATTACATGAGGATTGTCAAAACTGCTGCTCCGTAGTCGCGCTTCCTGCGCGCTATTGTCTTTGTCGGGGCCTTTGAGGCCATGCTGTTGGCCTTTACACACGTCGAACTCGAAACATCTGGAATACGTCGGAAGGCTGTTCACCCGCAGTTGTAGTTGAAATGAGAAGGAGGTTCGTGGCCGACGCGTCTCTCACGTTACGCGAGCATGAGGCTGAAGGATCAATAGGGTGGAGACGTATGCGTGTTGGCCCCATGCATGATAGCCACAAGCTGCACGTATGCTCTTATCTGTGCGACCAGAACTGCGCTATTTCCACCAATCACGGACTGAAAGACGATATGGTCATTATACAATTCAGGCTACATCGAAAAGAAGGTGGAGGTGCTCGGTTCCGATAATCTACCAACTACAAGATGGATCAATGCTGAATAACTCCACATCGGGCGCCATCCCCGAAAAGAATCCGTACTACCTCCAACAGATGTCAGTATCGATTTGCAGATCAGCGGCTCACGGCAAGGTGGACAAGGGAACACAACATGGCGCTCACCCCAGGGGATGGAGATACCAGAGTACTACCCTCATTCAGAGACTAGAGTAATCTTTTCGAGGCCGTATTGAGACGACCGCTCTCACAAAGTGCTTTCCGGATCCATCCATAAGAAGGTGCTGTGTCTTTGAGTTCTAGACAGCATACTCCTCAAAAAGGGGGAAATAAAGGTTCTACCATCGTTACCATAACGCGATGGATTCCACGTAGGACGCATACTGTGGAGATCTGAAGACCACGGTGCCGTATAGGTCGACATCGTACGGCCGTAAAGAGGCGATCAAAGAATCGAGCGCAGCAGAGGCGCGTGGCAGAAGCCCAAGGAAACCCACGAAGCATCCCACGACTTGGAAGAAAAGTGCATCGAATGAAAATCCACAATGTTCATATGTCTACACTACCTAGATCGGAGCGACTGGATAAATGGTCTTGTATTCCGCCTAGTACGGCTTAGTCGCGAGCGATTTATTAGATGATACATCATCTCTACTTAAACATCTGAGTTCTGGCGGAAGAAATCTTCCAAGCTGGTTTGCTTGACATTAGGAAATCGAGCAACATCCACTGGCTCAAAATCCCAGGACCGACTCGGAATATGGACCTGATAACAATACCATATATACTCGTACCACTCTTTCTTCTCGTACTTGGCTCTCGCATCGTCCAATTTTGCCTTTGCATCCTCAATCGTTCCTAAACAGTTGAGAGTGACATGCCCACGGCCACCCGTTGCCGCTTTGTACGCACTGGCAATGTCTTCCGGCGAGGCCTGAAAGCTCTGGACGCAAACGAACCCTCCTTTGGCCGCATCCGGAGCGGTGATTGCCTCGAGCGTGTAGTCGGCAATGTTATCAGCCGTAGTGTAGCGCGTTTGAAACGTCGACGGCCCGTAAAAATTGAACGTCTTCGATTTTGGGTCCCAATCGCGAGGGCTATTCCTGAAATACCACTCCACGATCGCGCCGGTAAACATGTAAATAGGCTTGATCGTCGAGGTCAATTCGGCCTGGTGAGCGAAAGCTTTAATTATGTCGTAGATTTCATGACTTCCAGGTGAGAGGTTCCAATCGTAGTTCCAGGAGCTGGCATGGAGAATCTGGATGGGCCCTAATCAGTCTAGTTCTCAACATTGTGTTGTATATCTCACCTTAACACCGGCACGCTCAGCTGCTCGCAAAAGCAACAGTTGCGTTTCTAAGAACATTTCGGGTAAACCGGCCAAAGCGCAAATGATGGCATCGACGCCCGCAACGGCCTTATCCATTGCAGCAATATCGTGCAGGCCAACCATGGGCTCAAAGCCTTCGAGCTGATCGTGTACTTCCTTCGGAAGCTTCCTAGCACTGCGAGCTAGACCTCTGACCTTGTGTCCCCGAGCAATCGCAGCCTTTGCACAAGGGAGACCGACAAGGCCGGTGATCCCAGCGATCAAGATAAGCATGTTGGTTGAAGCGCGGCGATGATTTGGGAAATTGGATGGAAGCAGTTCGAACTGTTGGAAGGCTGTATCTGTTCCTTTTCACAGGATATGTCGACGACTAAATAGTCAGAATTGTTCCGAGATCGCTACGTCACACCCTCTCGCTCAATGCCTGAGCCCGAAGGCCGAGAGCCAAGAAGATACGTACTCTCACTAGTAGTCTGAAGTCGACAGCCAAGGAGATCTACTGTGTCTTGAAGCATTACCGAGGCGCCCGCTGTCTTTCAGGAATCTCGGCAGTGACTTCAAATCAGTCATGATTGGAGATAGCAGGTGGCTTTCGTGTCCTATTTAATTCTACATGTGTGACTACTATCAGGCTTTTCTGCGTGTCGCTGGCCTTTGCTGGTGTCGTGAAATCCTTAGCGAAGACGTTCTTCTTTGAGGGGAAGGGGTGGTTTGCTTCCACGTAGTAGTCACTTTTAGGTGAACACTATTCTGTAACAGTACAGGTTTTGATGAGTCACTATTCTAGCTACTGGTTATAAGACATCGTTTACCTCGAGGGTACATAATGAAATAAACGACTTGCTCCATTTCCTTGTCGGTAAATCCATGTAAGGTCGATACTCTAGCGTTTGGAAAGCGTTTGAAAAACCTTACAGTAGCCGCACGAAGCTCCATTTGCGCCAGATTCAGTCCAATACAGACTACTGTTATCAGCGATTATGGTTAAGGAGTAAATGAGGGTAGGTGGTATACCTCGAGCACCAGCACCAAATGGCATCCAGGCGTCTTTCATCTCTTTTGTAGGTGACTCCCATCTCGAAGGATCGAATCTAGTCTCACGTTATCTCCTGGTTCTCGATCATGGTGTTGGAGCCTAACTTACGTCTCGGGATTGGGGTATATGCTTGCATCTCTATGCATACTGTACGACTGGGTCTGCACAACAGTACCGCCAGGCATCCAATACCCATCAACGTGAGCTCCGCCCTTTGGAATGTCTCTTGGTAAAGGGGCCGGCGCGGAACCAAAGACTCTCAAAGTCTCCTGGATGACTTGAGACAGGTACGGCAACGCCTTCAGTTCTTGGTCATTGTAGTCAACGGGCAAAGATTTAATTTCCCCAAGAAGTCTTGCCTTAATCGAATCATCTCGACAAACGGACCATGTGAGATAGGTCATAGTAACTGAAGTCGTCTCGCTTCCAGCTGTTATGTAAGCTTGCGCGTTTGATATCATTTCAGCTTCGGGCATGCTCTCTCCGACTGCCTTGACAAGCTTTGTAAACAAGGTAGGTTTCGGATTCTGTGGTTCGGCTTCCATGGTAGTCTTGTAGCGATGAATAGATTCTTCAGCGTAAGATACCATGCGCTGTGTTGCTTTGTGAGCTTGAGAGAAGAATGGTAGCGGGACGTACGAAGCCAACTTTACGATGGAGGGGAAGGCTAAGCGAACGCTGTCGAAGGTAGCATTCGCACGAAGATCTTGCGTGTATTGGTTTTCCTAGTGATGTGTTAGCAATCTAGATCTGGCATCCAACAAAAAAGGTCTTCACCTTGCTTTGTTCCAGCATACGGAAACTGTCACCGAAGGTTAATTCTCCAATGACATCAGTTGTGAAAAATGTCCACCACTTTAACACGTCTGCTGCACCACGCTTCTGCATCTCCAGACCAATCTTTTCGACAGCTAGATCAGCTCGTGCTTTCGCGACATGTTCTACATCCTTCAAGTTGGATTCTGAGAGCGGTGCAGATAGAAGGCGTCGATTCCGGGAATGAAAATCAACATCTCGAGTACTGAAAACGTTGTGGGACCCGTTCCCACCTTTCAGCCGCTCATACAACTCTGATTTCAGAAAAGGGTCCTTGAAAGAGTGTATCTGTTTGGCCCCAGAGACGGAGGCAATGTCAACTTCGCGAGGACTAATGCGCACAACTTTGCCTAGAGTCACAAGTAAGCTACATATCCGTGGGCTTCGAATTTGATCTACAAACCATATCTTTCGTGAAGCATGTGAATGTAAGCGGATTGGTTTCCATAAAGCCAGTGGTAGGTTAGAACCGCCGACGTCCAACGCGAATACCAGGGGCCAGGAACGCGCGAAAGAGGATTCCATAAACCCTTGGTAATTGTCTAGATACTCGCCGTTAGAACAGTTATCTCTCTTCTCGATAGATAGTATCATACAATCGATAGGAAAATGATGCTAGCTATGAGAAGCCATGTAGTCGTGCTTAAAAGAAAAGGCATGGTTTGTCCGCTTTGGATCAACATTAGTGTGTAGAGTAACAAATCAACAACAAAGATAGTTCAAGTACTAAGGTTTGGTTGTATGAGCTATCCCATCGTTATCTACCCTTCGCATCTACTTCAGGGTGCTTGTTGTGACGTAAAGCCCAAGTCGCAAAAGCCCGAATCGCGAAAGGCCAAGTCGCGAGAACCCCATTCTCGGGAAGCCAAGTCGCAAGAAGCCAAGTCGCGAGAGACCGAGTCGCGAAAGTTTATGTAGCGAAAGCCCGAGTCGCGAAAGCGCCTGCCACTCCCTAGGTAGCCTTGAGCCCTACTACCACGAATGCTGGTCTCATATGGATTGCAGAAGACCTGCAGCTCGATGCTCTGAGAAAAACTGCAGGATGTTGGAAATATAACTGACTTAATGTCATCACTCATCTTTGGCGCACTGGATTAGCGCCGTTGCACATGATGGCTTTCCCTGCCCAAGTGACTCGATTCTACAACAAACATTTCGCTCGTTCTCACCATAATCTACTGGATCAATTACAGATTATAAATTTTTGACTATGGCTCACAAACCTCCCTTCGTGGTGCTTGTGAGCAGTCGTGCCCATTTGGTCTCCGGACACGATAGCGTGGCAGGGTCCTGCAGCAACAGCTATTCCCGTTCTCAAAATATACCCCATACAGTCTATATAAAGTCTGTAATACTCTTCCGTAGCTAATGCCCACCTGACGGCCCCAAACTAAGGGAACCGAACCTCGACTTCTGCTTCTAATAACGGTAGTTTCAAACTTAATCTCAGTCTAATCTAACGGCGGCGAGATGACCTCGAGTGTTGTTAGAAGATACTCCAACAGCCAATCCACCAGTTACATATAGAATCCTCTCTGACTGCCAATAGCCAAATGCTACCGACGATGCAGATCCTAGGAAAGGAGAACTAGCCGCTATACGCTGGGTTTTGTTCGCAATGTCGACCTCGACGATCTCGTTAGGACCGTTTGTAGCTATCCAAGCGTGCGAACCCTGAGGAGAGATCGTGAAATCGTCGCCGTATGTGATGTTTGTCGCGAGGACCTCGACCGCGCCAGTAGCACAGCCAGTTTCAAGAGATATCGGGATCCTAGCAAACAGCCCTTGGTCTAGGCTTGTGAAGTATAGTGCTTCATCGTAAACGTGAATGCCGTTGATGCCAACACTTATACCCGTATCAAGGGGATCAAACTCTGGCTCTTCCAAGACGATGTTGTAGTCTCCGGTTTTGACGTTCAGCTTGTACACCGTACCGTTCGCCGAGTCGGAGATCAAGAGGTTGGAGGTATCGTTCGTGGACAAAGTAGTCAGGCCGTTTAGTTGTCGTGCCGTACAAAACTCCTTGATCAGAGATGCTTTTGTCTGATGAGAGGTATCTCCAGAAGGTGTAACGGTAGAGTTGCGCAGGTCGATCTCCCAGACCGCGTTCGAACAGGCGGTTCCAGTCAGGTTGGAGGAAACAACGTAAAACAAATCCGTCTGTAGCTCGGCGATACCTAGTATACCTGTGAAATTGGGTATTCCAGCAACAGGTACAGGCAAGTAGCTAGCGTTGGGCGAGATTTGGTACAACAAGGAAGAGGCAACAGAAGTGACAAGGACTTCGCCGGTTTTTCGGATCGCAAGGTTTTCGAACGTAGGAACAGTCGGGACAACGTCAACGAGTGCAACATCGAAGTTTGGTTGGGTGTCAAACTTGTCTGTTGATGAACACGTTACGAGTGCTCCTCCAAAGAGTAAAAAAGCCAGACTTTGCGATAACATAGCTGTGCAGACTTGAACGAAGATAATTGCGAGTTAGGACTTTTCTGAGAACGAGCAGATGCGTGCATGTATATCAGTGATTCTGAACGTTCCGCGATACGTACCTAAGTAACATCTGGCAGGCCCATGTTGCAGTAGAATCACATTCGAATTTCTTTCCAGCTTCGGGGACACCTAAAGTCCGCCCGGAATTAGAGTGTACGGTCAAGGTGGTAGCTTTTTTTCTTACCACCGACTGCACGGACAAGCCGATCGCTTTGAGCAAGCTATCCACTGCTGCCGAGACTATATGAGAATGGATATGGGTCTTTGGGTCCGCCGGAGTTGTGAACTTTGTAGGGCGACGGTCATTGGTTGACGCGAACGAGAGCGAGAGCGAGAGCGGTTCTCGCAAGGACAAATGTTATGCAAGCGAACACTATTGTGGCTAGTTGTTTGGTATCCTGGGCATCCGGCAAGCCCAAGTGGATAATTCTTGGCCATCCGCTGTGGGGATAGATCTTGGCGTGTCTTCGATGACCAATGACGACAGGCCAGAGCTTTCAGCACTCACCTGGGCATCGTGCGACATCTCAAGAAGCTAGCTAGCATAGCAATGCACCTCTCAAGGTGACCTGATCTAGGATCGAAGTATCGCCGTTGTGCAAGTCAAGACCTTGCCTTACTGTCTGTCTGATCTACCTTTGTAAAGCGAGCATTGCCATCTTGATCCCTAGTGTTCTTAGTCTCTGGAAGCACTGCATTCTTCACTAGTGAATTAGTGCCCTGCGTTCTCTATTCTACTCCTTCCATGGTCTATGGACTGACTATGACACACGATTTGCCCCTTGGAATAATGTTTGGGTGGCTTGGTTTCGATCTACATTCGAGCAAGCAAAATTCTCTTTGCTGGTTGACGTAGCACGGCGATTGAACGGCGATTAGAAATGACTAGACTTCCGCCCAATGCTTCTGGAGTTAAGGCCAGCTAGCTCCGCTTACTTGTAGAACTATCCTAAACCAATCTGTCTATACATATACATGTGCTTCACAGGAGTCCTTGAGTCATTACTCAACATTGAACGGACCGATCTCGTTCCTCAAGCAAATTACCGACCAAATCATACCTAGGTTTTCAACAATAATGGCCTTTCCACCTTACACAAAGACATTCCACAGAGGCTCCTATGCCGGGATTGACCCTTCTCGTCCTGAGCTCTCCACATCAGGAAAGGTTGTTCTTATCACAGGCGGTGGTTCTGGTATTGGATGTCGCATAGCCCATGCATTCGCAACTTCTGGATGCAAGAAGATCGCTATCCTTGGACGAACTGTTGGCAGCCTCGAGAAGACCAAGAAGGAGATAGAGGGAGACCATGCTGGCGTGACAGTTCACGCAGAGATTGCTGATATCGCTGATACCGAAGCGGTCAGCAAAGCATTTGAGGGCGCTTCTAAAGCCTTGGGCAAGATCGATATAGTTATTGGTAACGCAGGTTACTTACCGGATACGAAACCCATCGCGCAAGCAGATACCGAGGAATGGTTCAGGGGGATGACAATCAATGTCAAAGGCACCCTGAATCTTACCAAATCTTTCCTCCAGTGCGCCGCGGAGAAACCGACATTCGTGCATGTATCAACCGGCGGATGCCACATTGAGCCCATGCCTGCAAACAGCGGGTACGCAGTAAGCAAAATGGCAGCCGCTAGGTTGATGGAGTATTTCGCCTTCGAGAACCCGGATGTCCGGGTCCACAACATTCACCCTGGTGTTGTGCAGACAGAGATGTTTCAGAAAAGCTCCGAGCTTGGTATGGAGTTCGAATTTGATGACAGTGAGTTGTCCAGTCTTTTTTGTATTGGAGTGAGGCCGAACCTGTGCTAACATATGGTGTAGTCGAACTACCAGCGTCCTTTGCAGTTTGGATCGTCAGCCCCGAGGCAGAATTCTTGAAGGGAAAGTTTGTCTGGTCGAACTGGGATGTTGAGGAGTTGAAGGCTAAGAAAGAGCAGCTTAAATCCTCGCAAGGTCTTACACTTGGTCTTCTAGGGTGGCCTTAGAGATGCGCTTGTGTGTTGTCGATGATATCGTACGCATACTTGATGCCTTTGCGCTGTTCTGTATTGAGATTTGTATACTACCTCACGGGTATCTTATTCAGGCTTTATGCTACTATCATGATGAGCATCAAAATTCGACCATAGAACTGACACGACTATCTTGTCTCCTTAGCGGAGTGCTGTCTTGATCTAGCAACGACACAGTTGAACTCATTACCTGATCGTCCGTATCGTGCGTCTTCCCGTCATCAAACCGGAAAGTCACCATGATCTTACGGCTAGCAGCCACCATCGTACTTGCTTCCATCAGCCCTTCCACCTGGTCACCACCCGTATCTTTGCCAGAAGGCTGTATCGGCAAAGCTTTGGCGTCTCGTGGTGCGATATCCTGGCCGTAAAAAAGTAGCGGCAGGATGCTTTCTTTCCAAATCGGTATACTGTGCCGACGTCGCCAGTTTGTGATGATCGTCCACATGGAGAGGATGAATGTGACGGAAGTAAGGCCGATCGGAAGGAGTAGCCATTTTATGCGCATTGAAACACAGACTTTAGTTTCCCATGCTTTCCCTTGAACTAAGTCTACGTCTTGGGCCGAAATGCCGTATTGAAAGCGAAATCTGTTGGTCATAGCACTTGCGATAGAATCGAACATGCTCGTGACCATGTCATGGGTTGTTATTTTCGTAGTCAGCGATTGGAGTATTGAACCCGCACCTACATTGGACATGTAAGAGTCATAAGGAGGCTCATTCTTGGTGCAGATCCGATATTCGTCACAGAAACCGTCGAAGATATCAGCGTTCATGACCGTGGCGATTGCCTTAACAAACTTCGCATCTTGCCGATAGACGCACTGCTTGGGCCAAGTGACGTTGAAAGAGGTAGTTTTCTCTTGACCGAAGTCAAGTAGAGATAGATTCGCTGTCTTGTTCATGATATCCTCAGGCAATTTATCCCCGACGTAGAAGGTACGTTCGCCTGCTTGGCAGGGCTCTTTTATTGATGCATAACTGAGATTGTTGTTCGTGTGGGCGTTGAAGGTTTCGATATTCCCCTCAAAGTTGTAATGAGCAGTTTTGTTCTCATCAAAGTATACACTGCGGGTAGCTGAATCGATGCGCATAATGTTAGACTGCGTCTCTTCCTCATGCAACTGGTTGTCTTTGACAATGCTACTGTACGTACGCATGCACGGGTACAGACTGCAAACAGATGCAGTGATGGGAAGATTGAATGAAGTTACGAAGGTTGCGTTGACATATGCCCATCTGGATGCCTCTCTGGCACTATCTGTTAGTAAACCTCCCATCCAAGTAAGGTCTGGAGTTGGCCTCATCGTAGACATAGAAAGGTTGAGAGAAATTGTTGAGAAATTTAATCCGTTAGGCAATTTGAGGAACGCCAACGAAGGATGGTCTGAAGTCGGTATTCCTGCTTGTAGCACAAGGGACGTCACATCCGTACACGTGTTGCACATTGCAACAGTCGAATGCGCAGTGCGGTTATCGTCGTTGAAGATTGTGTCCTGAGAGCGCCCAGAAATCAAATCACCAAAAGTACAATTTCCCGTGGGACAAGTCATGTTGACCTGGTTCTCGATTCCGTTGGGCGATACGACACTCGATATGATTCCGGCAATAATTTCTGGCTGGGGGATACCCGATTCCGGGAAGACCATTCCATCTCCTGGTACCCGATGCGGGAAAGGGAGCGACGCGCTGATTTTCGAGCCAGGGACCGAGCATGGTGCTATGCCGCTGGCTTGCTGGACGCAAGGCCCCACCAAAAATGACGTGAGTAACACGAGTGTCGCCGTAAGTGTTATATAGTCCTTAAACAGAACAGTCGGTACTAGAAGCATCGCGCCGTATGCTCCTCGGCTACCGTAATCGAATTGCTGTAGGTCTGCTAATGGTCGGGGTTCTTTGACGCTGTACCAGTCCCATTTCCTTTGCGATATGATTTGAGCCACGATGATGACAAGTAGAGCTCGAAGCATTGTTGAAAGTAGCGCAAGAAGAGCGTTGAGGTTTAAGTTGTCACCCCAGTTCGGTACCGGCTTGCCATTGTAGAATGCCAAAACGCCCGAAATCAAGGCAATGAGAATAATCGCAAGAGCAACAGTAAGAGCTTCCAGAGCCCAGCTACGGAATATATGGTAAGACCGCATGATGTAGGTAGCCAGAGGAGTTAGGTAAATAGGAAGTGGGATTAGGTGAGATATAAACGGAAGGCGCAATGTTGCATTCAAGAACCGGCGGGGAGATTATTGAACTACTACGAAAACATTACGCGAGCTGACTTTGTCTTAAATGTTTCGAAGGCTGAACTGCAGGACGGCTGAGTTACACCACTTTCAGAAAAGCAAAGTTAGAAGTTCTCATTCGCTGTGTGGTCTCGCCCCCACCGAGTACGAACCAACCAGAAGTGTTTACCGAAACGCTGCAAAGCGTTCTCCTAACAATAGAAGGCGACGGAGAATCCATGTCGGACTACCTCTTCCACGCTTACTTCCTCTTGTCTTGCAGTCGACTCATTACATCTGGCATCTACACTCTTATACTTGATCCTGTTCAAAGAGCAAACACACGATCTAACCCCAAATCCCTGTTGCAATTATTATCTTGAGGGCAATCATCTACGATTACGGCGCCAACTTTCTCATACCCGGCGGTGCTGGTGCCTTCCAATCACCATATAACTGCCACCTCAGCCATCCCCAACGAAGTATAACCTTTTGATAATAGAAATCAGTGTCTTCCATTTCGCTCTCTAACACATACGCTTCAACCATCGATTCCAGACCAGCAGCCCTACTGTACCCCAGAACTCCTAACTCCTTCATGCTGAGCTTGCCATATCTGAAGTTTACCGTAGTCTTGTCTTCTTCAAAGACAGCATGGAGAAGCTTGCCGTAACCGTCGATCCAGAAGTCGCAATAAGGATTCATCTGATTGGAAAGAGCTGGGGCGAAGTTTGTGCTCGTTTTTAGGGACTCGGTATGCTCTTCGATTGTCTCTTGTATGATATCGGAGAGGAGGAGAAAGAGTTGTCGCTGTAGCTTTTTCATCGAGATTGTAGTGATTTGTTGGGGTGCGCCGGTACTTGGAGGCGGAGTGAGCGTCAAACGGATGATGGATTCAGGATGGAAGTGCGGATAGGTTAAATAATACATCAAATGATTGATGTTGACTCGGACAGCCGAGAGAGCAATCACCTCTGCAGGCGCGATCTCCAGTATGATGGTTTGTGTGTTGTATTTTCTCAAGTGTTCGGCCATTCCATAGAACCCTTCATTACCGCCACGCATGATCATGAAATCATTCACCTTCTCGAATTTTCCAAAATCTGTGATGGCTTGATCGCTAGTCAACTTCAATGTGATGTTGTTCAAGCGCATTGCAAGTCTCGATAGATCGTACACGTCGAGCAAGCCTGACTGGGAGAGACTGGAGTCGAAACCATGCATAGTGTGCTTAGTCAAGTCAATGGTAATTCCATCTGGGTTATGCAGCAGCAATCCTGCGATGCGCTCTCGCACGTCTTCTGGTAGAATTTCGAATGAGCGGCGCTTCTTCTGCGCCTTCCATTGGACTGTTCTGCCTTCGTCTAATGCAAGGAACGGCCAGAATACCCCTCCTCCAAGGTTCATACGTATGCAACCCTGTCCTACCCGATCCAAACTCAACTCAACGTTGACCGAATGAATAAGGCGACGGGAAAAGCAATACTTTCGGAGGTCGAGGACGTCTTGTACGGCAAGAGTTGTAAGCAAGTTGTTGAGTAGAATCGCTCCGTCAGTGGCCGCCGCCCTGAGAATCTGCTGACCTTCCAGCGTTCTGCCAGTGTTCTCGAATTTGATGACCTTGCTGAGATCGGGATGTTCCCATACAATACGTAATATAGGCAGCAAATCAATCAGCTCGTAATCACCGTGGCATCCGTACCACGCACACATGGCGTCGACATCAATGACGACTTTCGTGAGACGGAAGATTTGCGGTCCAATGTTTGTCAGCCATTGACCAGCGTAGTTGATTTGGAGATATTCTTGGTGCTTGTGATCCGTGCCGATGCGGTAGTCGTGACGTGTCAGAATCCTGGAGAAGACAAACGTGTTTCCGCCGTACATAATCCCAGAGGCTTCCTGATATACTTGGCGACAAGATAACATCAGGCCGAGTCCCTGGTGCAAGTCAGGCCAGAACTCTTCGTCAGTTCCAATTTCAGCCTCATATGCGTCATAGTATTGCTGTAGGCCACTGTGGTAATTCTCCAGGTCCCGACATGGCAGATGAAAAGCATGCGCATTATGAAGTAGAACTGAATCTTCGCGTTTGAACAGGTATCCGTACACCTGATTGCGAATCTCCGGGGGTAGCGTAGTGAGAAACGACACCTCGGATGGGTCCGTGGGAGAGGACCTAGCTTGAGTCTGCATAGCGTTGGAATTGATCGATTGATTGCAGTGTTGAAAGTACGATCGGTGGGTTGAGCGGCAATGGAAAGTTGATAGGTGAGGCTTGGTATACTATATAGGCAGGAACGAGCGCACGGACCGAGAGTGTGTGTGAATCCGCTCCCGAGATTGTGAACTATAACCAGCACTCGGTGCCTATAGTGCGACTGAAGCTCAAGTCCACTATCACGCAAGTGAGCCGATCCTCGAGCGACTTCACAGGAAAACTTACTCACCGCGTCGTTTCTCCTAACGCGTCTCGACACCCACGGCAGTGTCTGCGCGTCGAGTCTCTAGCCTATTCTCTGTGACATACGCGAACCACGGTAATGATGCTGATGTCGCGCAGTTTACAGTCGCAAGCGATGCATCCTGTGGTTGCTGATATAGCTCTCCGCCTCTTGAAGCAGCCAATAAATCTCTTTGGGCAACAGATCTTCGTGTTTGTTCAGCATCGTGCCTATAAAGTGCCTTACAAACGCATTCCCAATATGTGATCTAGGGTGTAAAGCGCGACGAAAGTTAAGCAGAAGTTGGAGCTCCACGAGATAGGTGTGGGGATACAAAGCGGAAGCTAGGTGGGGCTAACCGCAATAGCTAGATGACGAAAGCTGCTGACGCCGTCATTGTAGAAAGAATATTAGCTTCACCAAACACTACGCGATGGATCCATGGGACTATCGAGAAGAAGTGCCAAACCCACGACAAGACCTCGGATGACGCGTTCGGAGGCGCATACAAGCACCAGATCTTCAGCACGAGGCCAGCGTCGTTCGCACATATCAAGTGACTAGCATGTGAAGGGGCAAAGATGGTACGCGAATGGCGCGAAAGCGGAGAAACGACCGTATGTATCTTTACACGCGCAACGTAGAGTTGATCATGGGTGGCGCAGTTGCACAGCCACATGTTCCATGATTCGCCATGCTCTAGAGCTCTCCGTGGGCTATGCGACAGGCATTCTGACGTAACCTGCAAGCGCCGAAACTCGAGCAGGTTGCAGATGGGCAGTCGACTCCCTGTCGCTTGCATTCCATAAAAAGGTCGCTGCTTCTGCACTCGCACACCAAAATAGAAGATACCCCCTCCTGCTTATACCCCTCGAGAGACGCCTAATTGCTCCTCTGTCTTTGTTCCCACCCACCAACCAAGCTCGATACCCCGCGAGACACATATCGCAAGCATGAGCGGCCATGGAGATCCTCGATTGCTCTACACGGTCGGAGGCATCAAGGCCTACCACATTCAGCAGGGAGAAGAGAGCCCCCTCACACCCTCAGGGCCGCAGACGCTCTCGCTGCTAATGGTCCCTACCAACTCGCCCTTTGCAGACCTCAGCAACACGCGCGGCCAGAACGAAGCGCCCGAAGAAGACTTCTACCTCCACCTGAACCTGCCTCCTGAGCTCGACCTCCCACTCCCCGCGACGACGCAGATCTATCACCAACCGCCGCGCAGCTACCTGATACCGCGATGGGACTTGGGCCCAGAGAGCGGCGCCTTCACACGCATTGAGTTCCCGCCAATTGGCAAGGGCTCGACTTCGGTCACGCAGGAGGACGTCGACACCTTCGAGACTATCTTGGCGCAGTGCACAGCCTTCCTCGAGCGTGCGCAGGCTCCCCAGCACGAGAAGGGCAAGGGTGACGTCAAGGCATACAACCCCCAGGACTACCGACCAGGCGAGGGTTACGTAGGCAGCGGCAACAATGGCGAGGTCGTTCTGGTCGACGAGGAGAATGGTAGCGTTGTTGGTGAGCTGGCTGAGGGTGCCATGATCCACGCCGACCCAGCACTGAAGCAGGGCTCCAAGAGTATGTTGTTTGAACCCTTTTCGCGCGTACGCATATCGCTCATGCTAACACAGGCAAAGATCCCGTTGAAATCGTCGTCTCCCCAGACGGCAAGCGCATCGACATCCGCCCGCTCGAAGAAGACTACCTCGAGATGGCCCGCCATCCCGCCTACAAAGACTCCGGCCTTGTACAGAATGCCGCTGCCGCATCTCGCCTCGTCGTCACCGGCTCCAGCTACATCAGTAACATGATGGTGTCTGGTGCGGAGAACTTTATCAACAAGACCAAGCCCAACGAGAAGCCCATGGTCTTCAAGCCCGCGACCCACGAGCGCGTCCGCAAGATCAACACTCTCACGACCGGTGTCGCTGGCTACTCGGCCAAGACTGTAGGCCAGCTTACAAAGTACGCTCAAAACGCTGCGGCGGGAATGGCAGGCCACAAGAAGACACACGCCAAGAGTGTGAACCCAGATGGCACACCAAACACAAACTACAAACCCGGACTGCTGAACAAGAGCTTGATCGCCTTCTCCACAGTTGCAGACGGCATATCGCACTCTGGCAAGCAACTCTTGACAAGCAGTGGTGCAGCCGCCTCTGCAGCTGTCGGTCACAAATACGGCGCCGAAGCAGGACAAATCACGACCAACCTCGCTGGCGGCGTCAAGAACGTCGGCCTGGTGTACATTGATGTAACTGGCGTGAGCAGGAAAGCCATTATCAAGTCTGTAGCCAAGGGCATGGTTGTCGGTAAAGTCAAGGATAAGAAGGGCAATGAGCAGACTGTGCTTGTTGGTGGAGGCGATGGCGGCACTGTCACACCAGGCGACTTGGGCATGGGCGCATCGAACAATAATGCTCCTCCCAACCAGAGTGGTAGCGCAGCGCCTGGTGGTCAGGTGAGCTTTGGAGGCCCGCCGCCTAGCTATCGGACGGGTGTTGGTGAGAGCCTCGAGGGACAGCCGGCATACTACCCGCAAGAGAAGAGGTAGGGTCTGATTCCATAGCTTTATGATGGTATGAGGTATGAGATCATGATACGGGGCGACTGGCATCGCGCGTGTAGAGCATGCAGTGGTACTTTTCTTTCCTAGTCCGTCGTGCGCTGTCGACTGTTTCTAGCGATGTACACTTCCAATGACAATTGTTTGCAAAACCATGTCATTCTCTCCCGCTTCTTCTTCTCCTCCATTCCGACTAACTCTCTCACGACTCGCTCGATTGCTGTCCCGCGCCGAGAAACCCTCCGAGTTCTCGAGTCGAAATTACATTGTTTACACCAGCGGCAACCTCGGCTGGAAAAAAAACAACGCGAACGAACCATCAGCCCGTCAAAGACTAATCACTAATATCAATTCAATGACGGGAAGTAGCTTCAACGCCTCAAACAACCAAGACGGGCAATCTCGTTCTCAACAGCGTCAAAGCGCCTTTTTTACGAAAGTCAACTCTGACTCCTCCTGGACGCCCGCGGGAAGCATGTGTTCCGGCGTTTCCCGGTAAAAACCCAGGCACGGAAGGGCGATGAAAGGGTCAAGCAGTTTTGGGAAGGAGAGAAGCATGGGGAAGAAGCGTGTAAGCAAGTATGTGGTCTCCAATTGAGCAAAGTAGTCCAGGTCTGGTAAAGCTCCTGCCCCCTCCCCCCTCTTCGAGAAGAGAAGAGAAAAAAAAAAGTGTGGACATGGGCGGGTATGACTGTGACGAAGGGGGCCGGGGCGAGTACTGTACTGTTGTCTATAGTAAGGGAGGGTATTGGTAAGTGGGGAGGGAGGGAGGAGGCGCGCTGTTAAGGCCTGGGGATAGCGAATATAAGCGGATGATCCCGTCGGATGCTGTATATGATCGTTTGGACTATTGATTCTGCGAGTTACCATGTGTCAAATGTGGGCTGTTGTTGCTATATGGCGTGTAGAAAGTTGTATATGCGATCGGAAGATGCCGAAGTGATGGGTTGGAGGGTATAGTATAGTATAGGCAGATGGGGTGACAGATGGGGGGCGTGGCGATCATAACGCATCATATCAGTTATATTCCGGTGGTCTATCGCCTTCTGATCATTGTGAACAGAGGCTGTCGTGTCGATGGTTGGTGGGTGGTGGTCACGACGCTGCACATCAGTTATATTCCGGTGGATTATGATGTGATGGCAGCTAGTATGATACACATATTACTTGACGGTTTGATATCAAACTTATCGAACATGGCAAGTAGCTGTAGGCGTCTGAGTCGTATTGCTCGCCGTCCACTCCTCTAGGGGGTAACGGCGCGAGTGTCATGATCTACCGCATTCACTGAGTCGGCAGTCTGCACAGGAAACTCACCGTTGTCTATATGACACGCTCGGTATGCTATATGATGTTCGGCTGCCGAAGAAATGCGACTCATACGTGCCTGTCAACACCTGCAGTGTTATGTTTCAAATTATATAGAGTCCGTGCTCCCCTCGACTCGCTTACCTTGGCTCAACTCCTCTTAAACATACTCACTGACATGCATATTGCCCAGCCGGGTTTGTAGGGGTAATTTGGGGCGTTCGAGATGCTAATTCTCCGATGCAATGCCGTTGAATGATCTGCGACACATGTATTCTAGGTCGTGTGGGCAAAGTAACGGTAATGCGCGTGGTCTTGGCGACGGTTCGGGGCTGTAGGCGTATGTGGGTTAGGATGGACATGAGAGTGGGATGGTTGACCGATCGTCGAAATTGCAAAGGTTGGGGTGACGTAGGCTATGTTGCGACTGTTTTGTTTTCTCTTGATTGCTTCTTTTTTCATGAGTGTGTGCTGGTGGTTGCGTATGGCGTATGTGGCGGGCGGGGGAAGACGGAACGGTGGGTGTGAGTGTATTGAAATTGTTGTTTCGTGGTTGCGGACGGTACAGGCCGGGTAGGTAGCCTAAACATGAGGGAAGAAAGAAGTATAGAGCTGGAAGGCGGCCGGTAGGCACAACGTTGTTTTTCTTTCCTCTTTGTATGAAGGTGTGCTACACAATATTAGTTTTCTCGTATCCCGTATCCGCCATCCTGGATCCTGCTGTGACTTCAACGTTGCTCGTGGAGGCTGCCTTCCCTTGCAGACCGATAAACAGCAGCCGCGGCTACCCACTTTACTGTACTACCTACATCAGGAACACCGATATGTACCAAACGCATGCACAACGGATAGGACTACTGAGAAAAGCATACAAAAGCACAATCGCAGCTTCCACCCGGCCCTACATCCGACAGTTATCGCCCACGCGATATCACCCGTAGTCGCTGTCGTCGTTGTCGTCGTACACACTACGTAGCACATGACCCTCTAACCGCCTTCGCTACACCTGCATACCAGCCTCATTTTTCCACCGCTGATCGTGCATATCGCCGCACCGCGCATGCGACATTCGTCACACGTACATATGCTGCCCTGCCCAACGAGTGCAGTCCACGATCGAACAGTCAAGTAAGCATCGTACGTGTAAGTGAAGTTCGACAAGCGCTGTATGCGATGGTTCTGTTCCGCGGATATCATCGCGTGATGCTGAGGGTTGCATATGATGATAGATGAATGAGCACGTGGAGGGTAATTGGTGGTCGAACAACGCCGGCCGTTACGCCGAAAGGGTCTTTGTGGAGATGCTTCTCCACGGCGGGCTGCGATGCGATGCCTCGATCGTTGTAGATAACTGGGGAAACCGCGGTCGAGTGGAGCAAAAGCGAGCTACTCATCCAGCAAGCCAGCAAGCAAGTCATCCCGCTGCCCAACGGACGGCAGCGAAAACAAACGGGTTCAGGTTTCTTATTTCAGCTCCGTGTGTGAGGCGTGTGGGCACGAGGTGACAGGGCGCGCCGTTATTCGGGAAGTGGATGTCAGTTTGTATATAAGAGAAGCAAACATCGTGTTGTTTCCTTTTCCTTACTCCGTATCAAGTTACCTCGAAGAAACAAGAATACCTACTTTCTACCAATCGCAACACTTCTTCCACATCCACACATTCCTCTTCGAGACAAAGATCCACTTCAAATTACAGTCATGATCTTCGAAGCCCTCAGTATCCTCGTCATCGGCGGCTTGAAGCTCACAGCTGTTGGTCTGGCGTTCAAATGGATGGCTCGGTACTAGGGCGCACACGTCTTTACACTCTCTTCTGCCGAACAAACATGGAGGCGGGAAGTGAAGCGAGTAGTTTTGGCCGCTACAGGGAACCAGTTCCCGCGGCCAGTCAGAAGGACAGGAGTTGTTTGGTGTGATTGCCCCGCTGTATGGTGTGAGGCGGGGTATTTCGATAGACCACAAGGCAGGAGAGCGACAACGGAACGGGGCCGCGATTTTCATCCCACAGACAACAACAACATCAGCATCGCTGCGCTTTATCAGAGGCACTGTCACGTATCGGCGGCACGCATCACCGCTTCGGCTGGTCTCTCAACATACACCGCAAACATGGCAGATGTCCCACAGACCTTCACGACCCTACCCATACTCCCGCTCAGTGCAGCCCTGGACCCCGCTACGAAACCTCAGTTTCTAGAAGACTTGCGCTCCGCTTTGTTGAACGTGGGGTTCTTGTACCTAAGCGAAACGGGTCTGCCTGGGCAGTTGATTCAAGATGTGATCAAGGAGTGCGGGCGATTCTTTGAGGAATTGCCGACAGAAGAGAAGGAGAGGATCGAAATGAAGAACGAGAAGAGTTTCTTGGGCTGGAGTAGGGTGAGTTTGTGATTCATTCGAGTTTGTTCATGTTTCAAGTCCTGGGCGATGGATGTGCAGAAGAAGGCCGTAATGTGCAGATATGACGATGGTCTTATTAGAAGCTATCGCTATGCTACGCTATGCATGGTATAAAAGGAAATCGATCTATGAAACTATGATACAAGAACAGAAGAAGCAGGAAAGCGACAAATAAGAACCGGCCGTAATCCCGTAACGCGTATGCACAATAAACCTCCAATGCCCTCAAAGTAACGCCAGTTGCAAAAGATCAAAATCACCCGGGTATATCCCAAATACACGACGCCAACAATATGTACTCGAAGGCCGTAAACTTGCGCTCGCTCTCCCCTGCCATTACCTGTCCTTCTCTTCCTCTTGCTAAAATAAAAACACTTTTCTTTTTTGTTCCGGCTCGTCGTAATGCATGCTGACAACATTCGTTCGTAGCTCGACAACGAGACCACGGCATTCAATCCAGACCACAGAGAACAGCTCGATCTTTCGACTCCACACCCCATACCAGGACTCGACGCCCCACTGTACCACAATCTTCTCGCACCAAACCAATGGCCTTCGCCAGAGTATCTACCGTCTTTTCGACCAGTGTATGAGGACTACATACGTCGCATGTCGCACATTTCCACGCTCTTCACATCGTTGATAGCAGAAGCTATTGGACTTCCCTCTACTGCATTTGAGAAATTCTTCGATCGCGACCAGCAGCACAAGCTCAAGATAGTCAAGTACCCGGAGGTCGATGTACCAGATCTGCCAGCTGAAGCGAGCGAGATGGATCGCAGGAAGTGGGAGATCAAGCGCCAGGGCGTAGGTCCGCATAAAGATAGTATGCTGACGAGCTACTTGTTGCAAGCTTCCAATCAACTTGGTCTGCAAGCGCAAAACGCAAAGGGTGAATGGATAGACTGCAAGCCGATACCTGGCACTCTTGTCGTGGCAATCGGCCAAGGTATGGAGGCTCTCACAGATGGTGTCTGCGCATCAACCACGCATCGTGTCCTCAGTCCACGCAAAGGCGAAGGCGCGCGCTACTCCGTGCCCTTCTTCCAAGGCGTGAGCTACGACGCCCAATTCGAAGCCATGGACGTCCCTGAAGAAGTACTAAAGCTCAGGGACCAGGCGAGGAAGCAGCGCAAAGACGACGTCGAGTTTACGTTTGTCAAAGGCAGATGGGGACATCTCGGCGAGGCAACGCTGATGAACAGGATCAAGAGTCACCCTGACGTTGGCGAACGATGGTATCCCAAAGAGCTACAGCTGATACGCGCGCAACAGGCAGCCGCAGCGAAGGCGTCATCATGAAGAGCGATCGCGACTAGGAAGGGCCTGTAGTCGTAGTGTACATGAACCATTGATGTCTTGTCAAGTCTTGTCCAGCGGCCCCGGGTCAATGTGTACCATCCGTTCCGTAAGCGTTCATGCGGTGTGACAAACATGCACACAAACCACCGTGATCAAGGATCAAGGTACAATGCGGTGAGCTGAAGTCCACTTCGTATGGTTGCGTATCGGCAACGCTTCCCTATGCAGACGCAAGCGAGCGCAGGCGCCGTACTGCGAGAAGCTGCAGTTGCGATTGGGCGGAAGTGCGCCCGAACGCATGTGTCCCATGTGTTCGGATCCGCGGGACGCCACGCAAAGACTCCACACCTTGGGCTTGGCAACGAAAGGCTCCGCAGGGTGGGCAGAAAAAAGGCACGCCAAAATTCTGCTGGCCACGGTCTTTCGGCGTTACGGCGCTTCTATGCCCATCGGAAGAACACAACCGACGGAAGATACAGTAGGGCCGGCGATAATCCACAATAGTAGGAACTTTCACGACGACCCGATGCTGCATGCGTGACCAGAGACCGGTGTAGCGCAGTGTAGCTCGTAGATAGCTCGTAAAGTGTATTTGGCATACCATGTTTCAGCGTTGGTGGAGACTTGACCGCACGAGGAAATTTTAGCAGACTTTCTGGAAGCTAGCCCCACATGCGCCATGCATGTTTCCCTTGCGCGAGTTACCAAAGACAAATACCATGACGGACAGCGGCGGATGTATTCGTGTGTGTGGTGGCATGGGCGAATCGAACGGATGCTCGGATATCGGGCTATCTCGGTTGCATTGCTCCTTCAGGAACGGGTTTGCAGCGCACCATCGAAGCAGCCCATCGGACTAGCTAAGGGGGAAGCGAAGGAAGCGACTTGGAAGCCCAAAACGCCGCTCACAAATCTCGCGACGAGGCCCCCGGTCAGGCGCGCAGAAAACGGAGGATCCACGGAATGTTCCATTTGCTCATTTCCCAGTCTTCTTTCGCCTTCCACCAAATCCATCATCATCGGATCCACCTCTTCACCGTCCATCGTGGTGCTAGTTCTCCCCAGGGAAAACACACTAAGCTGTAGCGTCCCAAGGCGGGTCTGTCTGCAAAGACGGGCGACTGCAATCTTGATGTGATTCCACATACCGCATGTGGGGCTTTCCGTGCTGATGTTTCATCGCGCTTCATGCGATCGTGGGGGCACTGTGTGTCCATCCAAAAAAAAATGTGATGCGAAATTGTCCGAAGCTGGGGCGTTCTTGGAAACGGGTGACCAACGATGCGGTGAACGTATGGACACGGCTGGTAATGCAATTGTTGCTAGCGTGCAAACCCAAAGGGATCATGGCATGGTCGTCCCTATCAATTCCCGCGAGATCGCGTCTTGCCGTCATCGACAGAATCGAGCAGCGGCGCGAGATACCACATTCGGAAGGGCCCTTGCGGAACAATTGTGTTATATCGCCGAAGAATACAGCCTATCGAGACCGTGCCGCGCAGTGCCGCGTGTCGCTGGCAATTATGTCCCGTCTCGAGGAAGATTGCAAACTGAACAATGGGCTTGTTCTAGGGTGCTTCGCGCGTCTAGTAGATTGCTGGAAATGGACGTTCTGGTAAATCGAAGGATCGTCTCCCTGGTACCCCTGCCAACGGTCTGCAGCCACGAAGGATTTGCGGACATGTTTGGGACGAGTCGTGCTCATCCTCAATGCTCAACCTTCATGTTGGACTGATACGGCTGGTAGATGATGTGCTGGCCTTGCTCGTTCATCATCTGAGGCTGACCGTGCTGGGCATGCATCATGGGCATCTCGCTACCGTGACTCACTTGAGGTGGGTAGCCTTGCTGAGGACCAACTGGGTAGGAGCCGTAGGGTGCAGACGTGTGATGCTGCTGGTGCTGAGGCGGACCCTGGCCTTGAACCGGCTGGTGATGCATAGGAACGCTCATGTGCCGTTGGTATTCCGAGGCATGAGGCGAAGGATGCGAAGTG